TCCAGAGTTCCATTTAATTCATCACATGAAGGTGGTCATAAAGGCAGCTCTTTGAAATGAGCATCTCTGAAAGGCTCATAGACTGGTTTCATATATGGATGTGGATCAACCAGTGGCCATTTTTTATTTTTTATTTTTTTGTTAGCCGCTGCCTTGTATGGTTTCTGGAGCCCAAAGTAACCATATTTGGATAAGAGGGTGGTGTGCTAAGTTGGATGCTGTGTGACAAAACAAGCCTTATTATATGTCCGATAATTCCATTAAAAATGGCCCGAAAACCAAAACCAGGAATTTCTGTGATTTTAATTAGAGGAGGTGAGGCCTACAGCTCTCTGTGCCTCTACTCCTGTAAATCAAATCAACCCCCAAATTCTAAGCCTTTACAAAATCTAAGTAAGTGACCGATTATTTAGAAAATTCCCCTGAAAATTTTCTCTAAAGCAGGAAACTAATCATAGAGACCAACTTATTTTTCATAGCAGGTTTTAACCCTTTTTATTTCTAATGTAGAGTTGAACACTTTAGCATTGGAGTCTGTGAAGGCTGCCTCACTTTTTGAGCCAGCCTCAAGTGGCCATTAGAAGAACTGCAGTTCCGTATTGGCTTCCTTGTTCAGCTGCAGATGGATGAAACAAAAATTTTGTTTAACTTTAATTTTCTGTCTATGTTTTTCCTCAGGGAGCTTGATCCGGGATACATCGAAGAGTTTATGCCTTCAACGGTTTCTCTTTCTGCTCTTCCTGCTCCTCCTCCTCCTTCTTCCTTTCCATCGCCGCCACCACCACAAGAACAACAGGAACAAAAGACGCACCGGTCATTACGTCACAGCCCACCATGTTCAGCAGTCCAACTACGCATCAGAAACCGGTAGGAGGTGGCTGAAAGCCTGTATCACCTTCCAATCAGTTGTGCCCTCAAATAGCAGTTATCCAATCATTTCTTGCCACCTGTCTGTCTTTGGAGTTCTCCACATGCGGCTGTAGTATACAAGGGTTTTAGATCGTGGTTTCTTTTTTCTGCCTTTCTAGGCAAGAAATATAACCATGGAGAAGAGTTTGTGTTCATGTGGTTATGATATAATTGGCTAAAATTAGCGTGCCATCGATTACATTTTAGGATTTTTTGCTCAAGCTCTTAGGAGCAGGAGCTGTTTGAGAGACAAAAAAGGTACTTTAACACAAGCTCTCACTTTTTAAAATCAGTTGCATTAAAATTACTAAGAAACTTAATTTATAAGATATATTTAAAGGTACTTTTTGTAATTACCTACTGCAGGAAAAGATCAAATTTTCACCACTAGGGGCAACGTTTTACCACTGGGTGTGTTGTGTTGCCTTAGATATGTGCTGGTGTTTGTTTGTCATTAGGGGTCCAAATCCAGAGGCTGCATCTTCCTGAGGACCCAGCCTTCGTGGTCTACGTGGGCCGGGTCCTCCGAAGGCCGGGTAGGCCAGAAGTGAGGGGCTGTGAACCTTGACGGTCTAACCTTCAGTTTTGCGTCACCAGCTGTCTCGGTGGAGTTTAATAAACTAGGCCGCCTGCTCCTTGCTATCTAAAATATAACAGGACACTGGAGTAAATTCTCGATCATCTAACGCTTCTGTTTAATCGGTTTTTCAGTTGACGTTTATTCAGCTGTAATCTCAGCCAAATCGATTTACTCGTGAACAAATAAAACACTAAAAAACAAAAAAACAATATTTTTATTTTATCTAAGTAACTTATATACCATGTTTAACCATGTTAAAAGACCGCGGGGGGTTTGAAAACGCTGTGCCGGGAGTTCGCTGTTTCTGCTTCGCTAGCTATTGAGCTGGTGGGTAACAGACGTCTCCGAAAACGTCAGAGCACTTTTGCAAATATGTGATGTCTTGATAAACAGCAGATATTTGAAGTTTACACAGCTACATTCTCGCCTGAAAATATCTTAAAAGTTTATTTTGTGACCCAGAAAGAGTAATAAGAGTAATATTAAAACTAGTAGCTGCCGCATTGTTGGAAACTTGAATTGGCTGGGCCGCGCTATGAATTCTGGGATATGGTAGGCCACGAAGGATACACCCGACCCATCCTTCAAATTCGGAAAAGGAGGATGCATTTGTCGGCTGCATTCGGAGGAGTCTACGAATTTGGACAGCCTTCGGCGTCGCTGTGACGTAATCGGTCTAAAATGCGGCCTCAGGAGGATGCAGCCCATTGAATTTGGACATCTCCATTGTAAGAGAATCGTTTTCTTTGCCTGGTTAAATAAAGGTAACTTGACTCAGTGCTGCATCTTGTGGCAGAAATTGGTACTATATTGTAGTACAGTCTGGACGAAGTTTAACTTCTGTTGATATCTCTTCAACATAATACAAGGACATGTTAGAGCTGATGGCTTTGGTTAATTTTGGAAACTATTTTTAAATGCAGAAATTTAGAATAAGAAGCTTTTTAATGTCAGTATGTAAATGACATCATACATATTTAAACAAAGAGGGCCATAAAAAGAGAGGATGACAGTGTGCATGTAATTACGGTTACAGCCGTTGTGTTGCTCACTGGGATTTCCTGCCAACTATTCATTAACAATTCCTTCCAGAGTCAATAATTCTCCCTTTATTTTCCTAAATGTCAGTTGGGTTTATGCCATGCAGGTTAAAACAGGAAGTGATGTTGGCGGTCAGCTGAGGATGTCTTCGGCACCGGTGTTAGGATGTCCTGCATGTGTTTCCTTTGGGTGTGATATTTATTGCGATGTCCTGTTGTGTGTTTGTGACCTTAAAAATCAAGCTCAGCTCAACAGGAAATAAAACTGTGTTGTTATGGTAACCAACAACCAGTGACTTCATCAGCAGTAGCATCTTTATAGCTTCCTGTAATTTGCGTAAACTCTGTGATGTCATCAGCTTTGACCGTTTTTTTTGTTGTTTTTTTCCCCAAAATTCAGACAGTGTTGAAGAGCTCATTTACAATAAACACTTGAAACGATGTTCCTGATTCAAACAGGATTTTAATTTCTTTGGAACTTGAATTCAATCTGCAGGAACAACTTCTAAGATAAGCTGAACTTAATATCATCCATCTATTTACTTCCGCGTATCCAATTCAGGATTGCGTGAAGCCTATCCCAGCTGTTATAGAGTAAAAGTCGGGGTAGACATCGGGCAGGATGCCAGTCTGTCACAGGGATAACACACACAGATATTCCAATATTCACACCTATATGGGCAATTTAGATTCCCTAACTACATGTGTTTGGACTGTTGGAGGAAGCGGAGTACCAGGAAAGAACACAAACACAGAGAGAACATGCAGAAAGTCCTTGTCTGAGTGTTGGATTCGAACCCATGACCATCTTGCTGTGAAGCAACAGTGCTAACCTCCTGCCCATTTATATATCACTTATGAATCAAATAATAATCATTTGGTTTATTTCTATATGATAAAAAAATAATTGGGGATTGATTTCACAATCCGATACAAAAATAGATTTATCTCTTAAATTTTTCATTTGCAGACCTCAAGGACCTTTGATGCTGAAACTGCCTCATTGTTTTAGTGTTATTTAGCTCTGCAGTCAAAGGTGTTTAGTTTAGTCTGAGGTAAACTAAAGAAATGATGAATTATCTGCGGTGTGGACATTCATCAGTCTCTCGCGACAAAGTCTATAAATGCTAACACCACTGCACCAGGGGTTCATCCTAATACGGAGCTCATGTTCTGGAAGGGTTTGTGTGTCTGTAATTAACATCACAGACTCAAGGGGGTGCTAGTGTGACTAAGCACAAGCCTGCGCACCAAACTGCTTTTTCCCCCCTCTCTCTCTTTTTGCCTTGCAACGTGTGAAACTCATAACTTCACGACATATCCAAGACTTTCATTGGGAAAGGGTGGCTGGGGCTCCACAGCGAACTTCCTGCACATGCTTTTGAGCATGGTGCCTGCAACAACACGGTCATTAAAATGTACTCCAGCAGTAGTCTCAAGGAGCCAAATAAACAAGCAGAGTGACTCCATTCTTCCACAATTCCCTGGGCCCTGGGTGGTTATCAGATGCCACTGAGTGGTGCTCGTGTCTTATTGGTCATCCAGAAACAGGAAGTGGGCCATCAGAGTCCCATGAGGCTGGGTGTTAATCTGGAGAGGACAGACAGAATGATTTATAAACACACAGGCTCTTCTATGCCTTCTTCATCCCTCTTTCCCTCATCTCTCCTACAATCTTTCCCTTTCTCTTCACTCCTTTTTCCTCCTCAGAATGTTTCTTTAGTTGAATCACCACATTTTTCTGAAGCAACATCATTACATAGTTACTCACATACACTACTCTAACACAAACAACTCCCTCTCAGGCACAGCTCAAACACAAACAGAGCAGGCCAGTCAGTGCATGCGTTCACCTCGATCAATCGATTTGAGGATTAATCATACCTCCTAATCTCCATTTGGCTTCACTCTGGTTTACTTTACTTAGGTTAACTGCTGGGGATTACAATAAGGCATTATAAGGAAGAGACACAGCACTCAAAGCATCCTGAATAGAAATCTTTGGTTGGTCTACCATGATGTCATGCAGTCTTATTCTGAAGCCTCGTGATGAGTGTTTATGACGATTGGATGAACCAGGGGGCGATCTGACTGTGTAGTCTATCTTCCTTTCGATAAGCTCGATAAGCTAAAATTTACAAAATGGACTTCACATCTGACACAAAGATAGCGACTAAGCTCATTAATTCATCAGAGAGGTGTTTACTGAGGTCCCATAGAAGGTTTAAATGTGGGCTTCAGTCTTCAGGCCTGAGAACTACACCTGTCTTTGACTCTGTCTATTGCTGTGGTTGAATAAAAAAAATAAAAGAAAACCCTCATAACTTGTTTTCCTCATCACTTTACCTTAGCTTCAATAGAAAGCACCAAGGGAGTAAAGAAAAGGTGTGAAGAAGGTATAAGGCATCTTTGGGATACAGCAGACTCGTGTAAATAGCATCCACCATCACATTATTAACCTGTGAGGACTTTATTGGTGATGACCCGTATCCTCTCTAACCCTGTTTTTGCCTTTCTCTGAAATATAGGATTAGGACTGGTATCATCACTGATTGATAATGACTTACACCTCAAGGGGTTAAACTGAAAATGCAACTTAAGCAAACTGAACTTTTTTTAAACCTAGGGCAGATTTTCCTTATCCATAACTTGAACTGGCATGGCGTTAATTCAGAGGCATCAAACCAATCTCTGAGTAGGTTTCAGGTGTTTTAATAGGCTCAAACGCACCTCAGCTGAGTGGAAACCTGTATTATTGTTTTTCTTGCATAGTGTGTTCAGTTATACAGTTTAAACAGACACTGGAATAGTTTTTAGGGGTCTAATAGTCTATAGGGACATACCCAAAACAATGGAAGGAGCTCCAGTGGTCCCTGAGTGAGCACATTAACTGGTGAGATATTGTGTACTGCTATTCTTATTTTGATTAAATAACAGTGATTAAATTGTTGCTTTTAAAGATGAATAAAGAAGATATATATTTAACACACACATATGTTTAAGGTGTGTGTGTGTGTGTGTGTGTGTGTGTGTCACAACTGTGTTTTGACACAAACACACTAGTAACACAAACTCTCTTCAATTTTGGATTTTGGGCAAGGGAGACAGATAATTATGGGCTGGAACAGTTTCCCACGACAACAGAAAAGCGCAAGAGAAATTTAAACATTTATTTGTTCTACACCAAACGGATGCTTTTCTAGTAGTTTTAAGTGAACAGATCTAATATATACTGCAAACTGATTGAACTTTTCAGTCTTTTATAAGACTGGACTTTTAAAAATGTACCTGCCTGTAGTCTATCCTTCAAGCTATGGTTGGCGAACATATTAGTATTTACTTAATCACATAGTATTATAATTATTTCAGAGTGGGGAATGGGGGGATGGTACCAACTAACAGTTTTCCCTCCATTTCTATATTTGAGCTAAGCTAAACTTAGCTAAGTAAATAAACTGTGGAATCAGAGCACTTGCTAAATTATCTGTTTCATTTTTCCTTCCTCAAACACACAGTTTAGTTATAAACGGTCTTATAACCACGGCTTCTTTTTAACCATCACTGTGATAGGGAAGTGGACAAAAGATAAAAAAAGCTCAGAGGAAGACTAGGTAAAGAAGTGCAGTAAATGGCCTCTGGGATGGATTAAATCCGGGCCTCTGCTTTAGCTTAATGACATATAGATTGCCTAAACCAGTGTTACTATGGCCTCTTGAATATGCTACATTTGAGTCTTTGGGCCCATAACCTTAGATTTAGCTTGCACATCCCGTTAGCTTGGATCCTCACAGTTTTAAATTGGTTTATTTGTCATAGTAGCTTAGATTTAGCTTCTTTCTTTTTTTCTTTTTAATAACCGTATGGTTAGCTTTTAGGTCTTATTAAAGTTAGCTTAGCTTATCTTAATAGCTTAGAATTAGCTTCTTGGTTCCATTTGGTTAAAATTATAGAGTGCTTGTTAGATAAAAGTTGACATCTTTTGTTTTTTTATTAGATTTTTCTCTAAATCTTAAAGTTGCTTTTATATAAGTTAGCTTGATTCAGTTTTTATTTTTATTTAGCTTATATTTTAAACCGTTAGTTTAGCACCTAGATCCTGATGCACACAAGACATTTATATTTAGGTATGCAGCCCACAGGTTCTAGTGAGGCAATAGCCATGTAGTGTGTGGTACAGTCAGTTTTGCTATCTTGATAAAACTATGTGCTGTATTACTGATCCAAACTATATTTAAAATACGATTTTAAATATGATTTCAAGCTCATGTCCGCTTTATATTCTATCTTTGTATGAATAACTACTCGTGAGGAGCTGAATTAGGATGCCATGCTCCCTAAAGTCCACTACTTTCTGATTGACTGACCTTTTTATACGTATGGAATGGCTTATTACTGAACATATGAATCTGAAGCACTGGTGAAATATACAGATATCACTGAAGATTTCCATAATACAAGTAGCTTCTCTCATGCACACAGCTCTGCAGCATTAGGACAGAAAGGTGAGTTAATTTTTCTAGAACAGAGCTGCAGGTCAGACCATCCTCGGCACCTGATTCAGACACTGCAAAGGGAGAGGATTTCCTCGCCGCCTCATCGTCCCTTTCTCTCTGTGATCTCAGATACATCTAATGCCATTCCGATGACACATGACTCCCAGGAAACCCAGCTGTAGGCATCTGCTACTGAAGTGGGAGGAGCTACACTTTCACCTTTTGGTTAAACCTGCAGCAGCTTATACTCATCTTTTAGATATGAAAGCTAAATCAAGAATATACAGAATGACATCAGGGATCCGAAACAAACACGTATTTGCAATAGTGCAGGGAAGGTCACCTTCCTAGGTCATCAATAATCCGTCAAATGTCTATAAAGAAGTCTCACTGGTCTTAAAAGTAATTACTGCTACAACTACTGTTAACACTTGTTATTTAGCATTTAAATCCCAAGGATAAAACAAAATGCCAGGTTTTTGTACGGTAATTATATTATCCTTGAAATATTATCCTCCTGAGAAAATTAACAAACTCAGCATAATTCCCCAGAAGGGAGACAGAAACTGGCAACCTCCATTTTTATCCTCGTGAAGTAACTCACCAAGCTCCATCACCATCAGGAGCAAAGAGTTAGTGGATGTGACAGTGTAACAATGCAAGAAATGCATAAATATAGCATTACAAAAACAAATATGTGCATTTTCTTTTACTGCAGTAACATTATGAATATTTCATTCCTTTTAAGAGATTATGACTGGACCGGAAACGCCAACATATGTCTGCATACGTCAGAGTTATTTCTGTTTTACCTCACCCAGTTTGGATTGGTGAAGTATTTGTTAATGTTTCAGCTTGCAAGGCTGAAACATTAACAAACCTGTTGTGTGATAACATGCTTAACGGGAAAAAAAAAGCCTTTTACGTTTTTAACTTTCCCTAACCTCCAATTGGTGATCCTTAACCTTTTTCAGTACGTCACCAGTCCTTCTGAAAGTGGTCCCCCGAGCAGTCAACAATAATCGGTTTATTGTTCACATTAGGACCACATGCAGCATCATGAGACATCTTTCTCCCTGCGGCTTCAAAATCCGTTTCTCAGCAATTGACTGTTTTCAATAATTCTCTCTTTTTCTGTTTATGTCTCCTCGCCTTTCTTTATCCTCTTCCTCACTGTTCTGCTCCTCTTCCCTTCCTCTCTCACCTTTGGACTTGTTATTGTTTATTTCTCAGTCCCAGACTTGCTCCTAATTTTATTATCCTTTATTTCCTGCCTTTGACTCTGCCAAAACTCCCTACTTATCTGGCTCACTAGCCCTCTTTCTCCTATCAGTTCGTTTTCATACCTACTGCCTCCACCCTGATGGTCTAACCAAACTTTATCTCTCTCCATCCTCCCTCCCATTTTGCTACTCGTTCCATCTCGCCGTTTCTCAGCCTTCCTCTCCCTTTTCCTCCCTCCCTTCTCTCTCTTTCTCTGTCTCTGTCTCTTCTCAGATTCTCAGTGTCTCTCTATTCACACCACATCAACAGCTACTGTCCAGACCGAGCTTTGCCAGGGATGTTTATTTCATGCTTTTATCATACGGCAGCCTAATGACGCATAATTGCTTCATTTGCTTAACGAGCTGGGAGCCGGGGGCCGACACAGCCGGACTCGACCTGATCTGCCATCATCAAACTGAAAGTTGAGCGAAGAGGCAGATCTGAGAGTGGGACAGACAGGCGATAGAGACAGTAGATGCAAGACTTTTTGCAGGAGTTTAGATGGAAAACAGGAGCAAAAAAACCTCCAAAACAGAGTCGTTGGATAGATTTATGTTGCAGCTTTTTTAAACACGCAGATTACACTGAAAAAATTTATTTTTGTTAGTTATGAATAGAAGCAAGGTAGAATGGAGGTAAAAGGTGGAAAAAGCTAAAAAGTACTTTAGAAGTTAAAGAAAAGTATGTCAGGAGAGGACAACCAATAGTTGGAGTAATGAATTAAAGTTCAGTAAAGTAGATTTTAGTTGAGAGTAGATTTCTGTACGGGATATGGCATTTTGCCAGTCTTGCAAAGCATGTAGTTGAAGTTGAGTGGAGTTAAGTAGAAATTGGTTTTTAGAAAGACGTTTTTTAGAAGGGAACACATCAAAGAGTTCCAAGGAGCAAAGGATAAACTGTCTGGAAATGGATCTTCTCGGGACTTTCTAAAAGAAAAAGAACCTCGGGAAGTTTTAAGGAGAAAGCAATAGAGAAGAAACTAGAATAACCTGGACTGTAAGTCGAAGCCATGGAGCTGCTGGAGGCATTCTATCGAAGGAAGCTCAGGAAGAAGCAGAAGAAAACGGAGCTGGGCCGGTCAGACGGGGCCCTGTGTCGGTCACCGTCGGAGGCCAGCGTCAACAGCCTGGCGACCGGCCTCATCTCCAAAGTCCTCAGATTCACCTCCAGGTAAAACAGGGACATGAGTAATTTATGTCCTCAAAGATGAAAGACAGGTTAATGAAAACAGGTCAGAATTTGGTTTGTTTGAGGTTAGGAATGGTTGCGGTTTGCTAAAAGACTTGTGTTAAAAGTTTGTATAGTTTAAACAAAATTCAAGCTTTGCACGTACACAGTACTTGCAAACCACAATCAATAGTCAAAGAGGATGAATGGATATTTTAAAAGATTGTTTTCTGGAATTTTTTTGGCTTTATTGGATTGCGTGGCAGTGAAAACAGACAGGAAACTGAGGAGAAAGAACAGGAAGTGCATCTGAGAGATTGTGATAAACTTAGGTTCATATTGCTGTGCTGCTTATTCAAAAATATTGAAGTTGACAACTGTAAAATAAAACCTTAACTAATATTAGAACATCTTAATCCATCTATAAAAATTCTTGAAAACGCAGTGACTTAGAAGACAAGAGAAAAGTCATTAATCTAACTTGTGTTAAGTTGCAGGAAGACTGAATTGTTAATTGCTGATAAATCTAAGAAAAACTGTAGCCACCTTTAGCCGCAGCCCAGAGAATCTCAGAAATCAAAAAAAAAATCAGGGCTACGCATCGATAATTTGGATAAAGGTTGCAGCCAGATTTTCCAAGCAAATACTTTCTGTGTCAACATCTGACTCGGCTCTGACATTTAGGACTGTGATATAACCTTTAGCCACCTACAGACATGAAAATTAAGACTTGAATGTAGTTCACTTTTATTTATATATATATATATATAATAACAGAAGTCATCTCAAAGCAAGAGAACCCCATTGGTCACAATAATAACCTATGTGCTGAACCTGGCAACATTGCAAGCTCCTTTTTAACAGCAAGAGAACTACAGCAGAACCATGTTTAGGGAAGAGCAGCCATATGATGCCTAATCAATTACTTGGACATGACCGTGAAGACTGAGACATTAGATTGATTTGGAAGTGTCAACTATGATCTGGACGTAGTCTCAGTCACTTGGGCAAAATTTTAGACCCTCTGTCGAGATGTTTATGACTTGCAGTAACATTTAGGGTCTCAGAATCTTCCTTTTGGAGATTTTCCATCTGAATTCCTGCATACAGAAATTGTTGGTGGAACCCACCCTAAAAAGAAAACCTCCCTGTTCAGTAACATAGTAATGGAGTTATTTTATCTGGTCTCTTATTGGAGTTTAATTTAATTAATGATGGTCATCATTTCTGGTTAAAAATGGTCACAAATATGAGGAAAATAGGTAACTGTATCAATGCTTTTATTTTGTGGAGCATTCATGCTTAGTGCCACAGTCACATCCCAAAGGAAGCCCCCACCAACAAGTCAAATCTATCAAGACCAACTAAAATGAGAACCATAAGTCAAAACCAGCAGGACCTTCTCTAAGCTACGACTAAACTAGAACGTCTTTCCTGAGGTTTTAAACCTAATATTGGGATTTGTTAAATAATGTTTGGTGTGTGAGCTTTGAATCTTCCAATTAACTGCAACTGACTTTGTAAATTGTATGGGACAAGGATGATACCGTCTTACTGTGAACACAGGGCCAAAATGAAGATAAAAATACACTTTGTTATACTTTAGAATCAGAGTGAACAGTACATTCTCTGCAGAGCTAATAGAAAGGGTGTAAATGTGTATATGTACATCGGTGATGATAAAGTGTTGAGGTATTCCAGTCATGTCCTGTCATTATCCAGGTTCCTGTGGTTCAGAGACATACAGGCTTTCATGTCTCTGTCTCCTACTTAGTCCGATAAAATCATTTCCTGTTTATCTGTGAGCATAAATACAGAGCAGGAGGATATGTCAAATATGAGTATCGGTGGAAATTATTTTAACGTCAGTATCCCTGTAATCATAACTCATCTGCCAACACGTTCAGAGTATGATGATGGTGATGTGATAACGTTTAGCCCTGCAAACAAAAATATGATAATTATCCCTGAAACAATATCTGTGTTTTTTCTAACCAGCTTCAATATTTAGTGTGTTTGCATGTGAGATTCAAAAATAAGTTGTGGGAAATCACGACAGTAAAGACACCGGTTTATAATTTTTACATTCTGGCTTGTGATGGAGTCCATTATAGCATTTTTCAACCTTAACTACTTTATGTGCTACTGAGGAGTTAAACTTTGATTTTGACTCTGTGGCTGTTTTAACTGCTCTCATTTCAAACTTAACTTAACTATTAATATTGTAACCTCCAGGTAACAGGTATGCAAAGCTTTAAAATAAATGTAGATGCAGAAAAGATTACTTTGCTAACGAAATCTACTAAAATGAAAGATTGTGCCATCATGAAACATCCACAACTTTAGTTTTCACTTGTTCTTACTTCAGTTTGACTCTGTCTAACATAAAACAAGTCATCATAGGTACTGCCACTGATCTGAGCTCAGAGCGTTAACCTCTAAACAACCACCCAAGGTATTGTTAAGCTTGCATTTAGCCACATGTTAGAAAGGTGCTGCCGGTCAAATAAAGTCCTGTGTTATTTGATCTAACAGTTCTTCCAAGATTTTCCTTTCGGTTTGAAATATATTTAAAATCTCATAGGAGGACAGAAATTATCCCAAACTTAATCCTAAAAAGGAATGCTAAATTGAATATCTTATCTAGAAGTTATAATAATGTGACTACACATATTAGATAGCTAGTCACCTACTGGATTGTTAAACATTAAAACACTGTAATGAATGACCACTTGGAATCTGTGTCTTAAAGCATTTCATTGTGATTATTACTTTTTATGTGTATTATTAAATTTCCTGGTGTTGTCGTACATTCATTGAAACACTTCAGTAACTTTTTTCCTTCCTTGGAAATGGAAGGAAGAGGCAGAGATAGGCAGAAGGTGAGTCAGATCTCAGTGGAATGAGGCCGTGCAGCTGTGTGCGCATGTGGGAGGACGCAGTGGGATAATATTTAATTCTGAATTGATCGGGGGGTTCCAGCTCTGATAATAATCTCTTTTCAGGGGTTGAATCCCTGCAGTGATTTGAAGCATCTAATGGCTCTATGAATGAAGATATGTGCAGAGTGAAAGGGGACAGATATGGTTAAATTATAAACTGGGAATGTGGTTTAATGTTGTATGTGGTGCAGCTTTTTGTAAAAATCCTCACTACTACCTAATACACAGCATGTATATGAGAATTCCATAAGAACTGTCACTGTGCTACATTAAAATTAAAGTTTTAGAAAAAAAAAATTGCAGTTAGTGTGAGTACACCAACATCTGTTTAGCTCAAAGTACAGATGAATTTGTCAACTTTGTCTGAGGTCAGCCTAACAGTGTCGCATGAAGTGAAACCGCTACAGAAGAACCAAAATTCAGATTCACTCAACAGAACCAAGAAATGTTTAACAGGCCCCCCAAGCAACAAAAAAAAAAGAAAAAGAAATATTCTGGTTTTATCCATCAGTTTATCCATAGCTGATTCAACTTTCTCAGGGAAAATTGGGCAAAAAATGTGCTGTTTTGGATCATTGTTAACCTTCCAGTGATTCATGATCCTCAAGAATATCCAGAAACCAACTGAACTGCTGAAATATTTAGTTGATTGGTTAAATATGATGCCACAAATCAAATTATGATATCATATAAACAAGAGCCCCGAGGGAGTTGCCTGTTTTGCCTATCTGTCATGACTTTTTGGAAGAATTTCTCAATCAAATGATATTTCTTTTTTTTCTTTTTTTGAAAAAGAACATTTAATCCTCCATACAGCAAGACGATTGTTGTGCAAGAAGGTATGAAAAGAAAGCTTTTTGTTCTGTCCATTTTGCAGATGCTTGAAAAACGTGTGTAACACATGTGTAACAAGCAGCTGAGCAGCTGATTCATTGTTTGATTAGAGTGAAATGTAATGTGATTCCTGTATTGTGTTGCTTTTAAATGCATTACCCACAGGGAGGTTGGGCTCAGGTTATGGTTGGTTAAGATTGGTCTGAGTTAGATTTAGATTAGGGTTGGGCTGGATTTTGATAATGGTGTCTTACCTGAATTCGTACATTAGGCTTGGATTGGACTAGAGTTTGGTTAAGATTTGAGGGGTTTTGGGTAACAGCTGGGTTGGATTTTTGATGATAGTGGTTGACCTGGAACTGGGTTAAATTAGGCTTTGTGCTTAGCTTTATCTTGGACTGGGGGTTAGATTAGGATTGGGTTTATATTGAATTTGAGGGCTTTGCTTGGATTGGATTGGAATTTAGGTCACAATCGGGTCTGAGGTTGAATGTTGAGGTGGGTTGGGTTTTAAGTTAGAATAGTTTTTGGGTTGGTTGATAGCGGCTGAGCTGGAACTTGGGTTAGGTTTTATCTTTAGCTTTATCTTACATTTGGACCCTGGATTTGGATCGGCTTGGATTACAGATGGGTTTGGGTTGGGGTGAGTGTAGATGATAATGGCCAATCTGGATTTGCGGATAAGTCTTGGAGTCTGGCTTGGATTGGGATACCTGGGTTTGGGTTGGAATGGGTTTGGATGATAGTGGCTGATGATGTTAAAGTCTGGTCAGAAATAGAGGTGAGGCTGGCTTACCCTGCACTATCCTTCACAGCTAACTAAACCCTGAAAACACACTCTTAATCACAGCATTTAGAAATGGAGGTCACACTGTCCAGTACTTCACACACTCTAAATCCCTCTCTCTGTTTTCATCCTACAGACGCACTGAGCCGGCATCTCGTCCTCATTCATGGCATTCATCGAAGCTCGATGAAGGCCAGCAGGAGCTGGACCCGGGAGCAATGGACAGCATGAGCAGCACGTGGCACCACAACTACCACGCCAGGTTAGTGTTTCTTATATATATCTAATGATTATCTAAGCCCCTGATGTTCAGTATATTATCATTTTCACCATTTCCTGAGTGAGATTTTGCTCAAGTTTTGATTTTTAATTGAATATTGTCAGTTCATGCTGGGATATGTCATTAAACCAAACATCCTCCTGTTTCAAACAAATGCATCTTCATTACTGGCCTCAGATATCTGGTCATCACTACATATGAAAAAAGTAAATCTCCTTTCTTTTAACATTTCAAACATCCAGACATTAAAGAAGTTAATAAGTGGAGAAGTCAGTAGAGTCAAAGATAACTTGACTTGTAGATTCAGTGGATGCTTGTTCTTGGAGGTAGGAAGGCAATAATATTGTGGTAATTAACACATATACACATTTATGCTCATTCCAGTAAATGCGATAACAGCACTTGAGCTGCTGATCATCAGGTTTAGAACTGCGTTTACAACCAGCAGCTGTGGCAAATAACCCTCCTTACAGGCGCACCCTGCAGGTAATAGCACTTATCGATCTGCTGTCAAAATAAGAGCCTGAGACCTGCCTGACCTCAAACATTTCCAGCACAGTCTGAGGACATGTTTAGAAGTCTGGATTGTAGGTTTACTCAACACCACTATCTGTAAGTCACTCAGAAGGTCAAAGTTCATGGTTGCAGACACTCACGTGATGTCTTGTGTCTCATCTCAGGCCAATATACATGCATAGTCTAGTCTAAAGACCCCGTGTGATACAGCCACGCTTCCTTCATTTTTGTGTTATTTAAAAGCTAATCTTATTTTACAAAATGTTATTTATAAATTTTGCCTTAGAATGTTGGTGTTTCTTTTTTGTCATGACCAACTTAATGTTTAAGACCCTGTGGTGCATAACAGAACAGACAAGAGACACAGCTGCTTATTGCTGTCTCACAAAGGATGTGAACTTTGACCCCCTGAATCCTGGAGTGTCTAAAAGCCAGTTTTTCTGCACCACTAGCGGCCTCTGAAGTTCCTTTTATATCCATGCTTAATGATCTACTACACTCTGAAATGTGTAGTAGAAACCTATGCGCCATTTGGACTTGAGCTTGGTCGACACTTTCCTAATGAGTTCATGGGCTCAGTCACTCATTTCGGGTCATAGTGAATAAAGCATTGCGTATTTGGTAAATTTTGGTTAACCTGAGGTTTCTAAAGGAGAATTATATGAGGTGTGTTCAGTGATGAATGACTTGCCATTGACAAGCAGATGGAGAAAAAAGACATTTTGAAGCTTGAGGCTTCAAAACAGAACGTTGTCCTTCAGTTCTTGTTTTATTTTGAAAGTTAGAGCCTCACGTGGCTTTCTGTATTTTTACTTCTTCCTTTGTTTGTTTTATTTGGGGGGGTTTTTTTCCTATCCTGAGTTCACCTGTTTCTTATTATCCTTCTTTCACTGCTGTGCATTTAATTATTATGTTTCCCCTCAGTCTTTACCAAGTGGTGGTCTCTACTACTACTTCCCTTCTTTTGCATTTTTGTTGTTTTATATCATTTACTGTATTAGCAACAGCCTGCCTCATCATGCAGGGTGTTTATGAGTAATAAAGTTCCTTCTTTTTCATCCACCTTTCTCCATCTGTCTGCATACTTGGATCCACTTTAGTCCTTTCTGAAGAATGGTGATAGTAGCTGACATGGCTGAACTTGGACATTTTAACATGAGACTCACATTTGGAGCCAGCACTGCCACTTTCACATTGGCTGAATTTTTCATCCCCCAGAGGTTGCCCTTTGGCTGGAGCCTATCACAGTTGACACTGGAGGTCACAGGCACCATGGCCAGTTAACTTTACATGTTTTATGTGAAGTGGACCTGCTGGTCAAAGGAAGTTACATCACTGATTCTTTGAAACACCAGTGAGAGGGAAAATAAAAGCCTCTGATGCGGCTGTGAGGGAGAACGGAGCATTGGCGTTCCTTAAGCCCACCTCCCCCCTCTTTTAGGTCCCATGGAAACCCCTACTCATCCACCCACACAAACACAAACCCACATACACTCACACACTTGGTTGTCCTGATGTAGCATAATATTTTTTGCATTCCTTAATCCCCTGAGTAGAGGTGGGATTAAAACACAGAGAATGAGACATCCAGCTGACGAAGAGATGGATGCTGAAAGTGAAGTTAGACTCACAGAAGTCTGTGAACACAAGCAGACGCTGTCCTCTTTTTCCACAGTCGTAATCGCATTGTGTTCGGTTGAAGGACTTGGTGGGTCAAACTGTGACGTCAATGCGCATTTACATTCCAGTCAGTCATTCAGAGTGAGGTAGCGGTGCATTCGGCTGCGGATCACCAGCTTTACAACTGCTGGTTGTAAAGAACGCACACCTCATCATGTCGGCGTTCTGGCCCTTTTTTTCTCTAAGAGCCTGAGTCACTTTCAAAGAGATGCTACAATGCCAGTCTGAGCAGTGTGTCAGCTCTCCACTCGAGCATAAGACCGAACATTTGTGCTGTGCAACAGGGGCTTCTTCAGGATGCTTTTTTTTATGTGGGGTGGCACAAACAAAGTAAGGGGAGCACGGGAAATCAGAATATTTGATCCTAAATACATTCAGGGTAGAAAACTGGTGTAGAAAACACAGGCCAGCGTTTTCAGGCTTGTGCAGCTGGGTGCACTCATACAGTGAATGTTTTGCAGTGCCACTTTTGGAAAGTTTGCAAGATCTGCAGGGTAGAGTTTATGTTACTGGAAAGTTTTTTCAAGTATTTTGCCAAGTGGTGAAACAAACCTTTCTGCTTCAAAATATACTTAAAGCAAAAGTGCTCATTACACAGAATCATTAACATAGATCACAGTTATTGATTTATTAATGTTTATGTCACTCTAATGTAGCATTTGGAGTTGATTTAATCACGTATGTACAACTGGGTAACTTTATCTATAATATAAGCAGTAACTAAAGCTCTAGAATGGATGATATGGGGGAGGAGAGAAAAAAAGCTTTCATCTCACCTTCAACAACAATCCAACCATCACAGAAATGTATCGTTACCAAGAGCCATTCAATGAGATTTCCAACGTTATCAACACCATCTTCTCTTTCTATATGTTTCTAAAAAAATAAATGATGATCCACGCCACTGTGAGGGGGGACAGTCTCTTATACTTGAAGAGATTCATGCATTCTGTGAGAAAACATTTGTTCTTGTTGGGATAATTTCCTTTAAACTCACTCTTTATCTCATTAGTAGTAGTTACATGCATCAGTATATTACTACAGCACTATACAGTATATCTCTCCTTACTATATGATTTCTCCCAGAAAGTCCTTTAAGAAAAAGTCTAATTCTGCAGTAGGCAGATGGTGCGAATCATACAACTGTGGCACATCAAGCCACAGCTAACCACCAGCGCAGCTGATCCAGTTGATCCACAGCTGCACTGGTGGTTAGGAAAGACAAAACTGTCAGGAGACCATGTCATGAAAGCGTGAGCCCGAGTGAGTCATCTTTCCACAGTTGTTTAAGGCAAACATGACACCAAGAAAGCTAAAAAGACACTTGGAAATCAAACATCTCTTCAAAGAGAAGCTTGGCTTCACTACAAACAGTGCTGAATCAGAGGCAGCAAGCCCATTTGTTGGATTGTGTGAAAGTGTCTCATAAGGAGATGGAAGCATGTTATTGACCACTGGAGTGGTGACTCTTGTGCATAAAAAAGAAATTGAGATGTAATGCGGTGTCCAGATGTTGAGGCTGGGATGTCTAAAATGCCCTTCATGGTTCAAAGTCATCGTCATTGTCCCACTAAGGGAAATTTTGACAAAATAGCTACAAACTAGCAACATCTCCCCAGCCTCAGCTGTCCTTTGTGATTGGTTCTAATTAGATTTTACTGAAATGAAGCACTAAATGTAAGAGTTGTTGTCTCTCAGTGTCTCGACCAATGATCTGTCCGGCGGATTCGACTCTGGCTACCTGAGGAAGAGTCCGGACCAGTACAGCTCCAGGGGCAGCATGGATAGTCTGGACCATCCCCAGTCCTCCCAGCTTCACTCTGGAGCTCAGCACCAGCACTCACTGGCCCACCACAGACTCAGTGGACCCCACCCGGCCTACTCCTCCTGCCACCAGCTGTCCTCAGCCAGGTGCATAAACCAAACACTCCTCAGCAATTGTTAGGTATAAGCTGAAAAGTCAGTCTAACAGCAACTCCAATACTAATTTGTATATAAATCATTTGTCAGTTTTACCTTCAAAATGTAAAACTGACGTTACATTGAAGGCACAAAGAGAGGCATCCAGCCCTTTTTATATATTTTTACTTATTTGAAACATCCAAATGTGAAACTAATGCCAAAGTAAATTACGCTACGTTCACACTGCAGGTCTTAATGCTCAATTCGGATTTTTTGATCAAATCCGATTTTTTTTTTTTTTGTCTGCTTGTTCACACTACAAATAAAATGTGACAGCAAATGCGCTCTAGTGTGAACCCTCAAAGTGGCCCGCATACGTAAAAGAAGACGTCACACACGTGCTCTGTTTAGACCCAGACCAAACAGTATTGTTTGACTGATGTCCCTTAATATAAAGACTTCGGACTTTACGTTTCCCAATTTTGCTTTAAGTTGTAAAGTTATTTTGTTATTTACATATGGCCTAATAATTATCCGTATTGCTGTTTTAGAGAGGAGCGGTGCATCAAAGGATGGTTGCAGATTTCTGTCAGAATCTGCAGATTATACAGTACAAATAAAATGTTCACATTTCTCCAACATTGTCTTCCAAACAGTTTCACTGACATCTACACTGGATACCCAGGAAGTGTTCACGATGTCTGATAATTGGCGTCTGTCTTGTGTCAGTGACGTAAAAGACGGATTTAATGCGACCTGACCATTCAAACAGCAGTCGCTTTCTAAAACATCGGATATGTATCAGATTCAGCACCACATACGAAAGTGACCCAGATCGGATTTGAAAATATCGGATTTGTGCTGTTCACACTGTCATACCATGATCGGATATGGGTCGCATATCGTCAAAAAAGTTGGATTGATGCACTTTCACCTGCAGTGTGAACGTAGCCTTAGAGGTCTTTTGAAACTGAATAGCTAGGTCTTCAAATTTTATCTGCTTAGCATGTTGCCCAAATAGAACTTAACCCTAAACCTGGACCTGTCCCTGGTTCAGTCACTGATGGCCTGGTGGTTTTAAAGAGGTTGTCTTTGAACCAATTAAACTTAGGTTACATTTAAGCCACTTGGTAAACCAGCCTAGTTCCAGAAAGTAGAAGATAATGCCTTTCAAATCAAGTTACAGGGATTTGGTGTGCAGTTGGGTTAAAAGCTCTGTCTGGGTATATTAAATGGGGGGAAAAAAAGTTCCAGAAATATTCCCTAACTCTAAACATGTTACTGACAACCTGATGGATATTACGTTAAATCTCTGTATGCTTATCCTTTGAACTAAACCTTAATCAGTGAGATCGGGACTAGTGTCACAGTCTTGAACTACTTGTTGTGTTCCAGGTCGTCCAACAGCATTGAACACTTGCACAGCAAGAGAGACTCTGCCTATTACTCTTTCTCCACTAGCTCCAGCATCCAAGAATACCACGCCTCCACCCCCTCAATCAGCACAGAGCGCTCCAGTTCACTGGACACTGTCCCTCAGAGAGCAGGGGGAAGTGGCGAGACGCACCAGGCTGACATGCGTTACGCCCCGTCAGTTTACGACACCCAGCAGGGCATCTTTCAGGAGCGCGAGCTGAGCTCCAACTCTGCCGTGTTCTTACGTAACAGTGACTCCAGAAGCGGGGGCGGAGCCAGGTCAGGGATAGGTCGAGATCTGGAAGGTAAAGTTTCTGTTACTGGAATGTTTTTCATGTTTTCAGGTATGGTAACTTTGATTCAGTAACGTCATTGTTTGTCCATGGTACTCTTGGTTTCAGGTTCAGTTAGCGGGGTCTGTTACCGTGGCAGCAGCAGCAGCAGCGGTGGTGCACCGGCATCAAACAGACACAGTGTAGGACCAATATGGGCCCCGGCAGCCAACCGCAGCTCCTATGAGAACCTGAAGGGGGCGCCTGCTCCACCAAGGCGCAGTGATAGCTATGCCGTTATCAGGAGCCACGAGAGACCAAATTCCTGGTCCAGTCTGGAGCACGCCAGATCACTACGGTAACCAGGTTCCAGTTAGAGTGAACATTGATTCTCATTCAGTGCTTCACAAATTTATTTGAGCGACACCCAATGTATGGTTTATGACACAGCAACCCTAAATTAACCATATTGGTCATTTTAATGGTTAATCCAGCAGCATGAGAAGGCTCTTTAATGAAAATGTTGTTTTTAATGTTAAAATACAGTTATTGTTCTTAATAATGCATGTTCAAATGTATTGCTTTAGCAAATAAAAAAAAAAATCAAATTTTTTGATTAAAATGTCAAATTACAGTTACTTACTTGCATTCCTGAACAGAAAAAATAGTTTTAGTGGCTTAGTGGTGTGCTTGATTAATTTCTGACTTCTCAGAGAAATCCAGTGTCATCATCTTTTATTTCAGTATAATAATTTACTATATTGCACAATATTTCTATTTAATACAATATTGTATCAAGCCATGTGGCTTACTGGATAGAATAAGTCCATTTCACTTTCACTTTTTTTTTCCTTTGAACTTGGGGCACCAAGTTATTGAGAAGTGTTTTTCTTTGAAGCTTTGCCAAGTAAGAATTTAATTATTTTGATTTTACAATGCTTTACAATAACTTTCAGTTTGCAGTGGGAAAAGATGAACTAAACATGTGTCACAATATGATATGTTATGTTATGACACAACATTATAAAATCCAACTTGCCACACTACAGTACTGTGTTCATACATTGTGATTACAATGTGATATATGCTACGTAATGGTAATATGGTGTGCTTTGTTATGATACAATAATGTGTAATGCAATGTGATATAATTTATCTAAATCTAGAATAATCTAAAATAACTGACATGGAGTGATACAATGCAATATGATACCATGCTTTATGATATTCAGTACAACATAGTAAAATATACAACTACAATTCAACATGCTGTACCCAAGAACCATCTGCTTTTTATATAGCACATCCTGGTACAACACAATAGATTGGTGCTGCACTATAAGCTGCAGTATGAGTCAATATAATGCAGAGTGTTATTATGTAATACTGTATAATACAGACAGTGTGCAGAATGGCGCCATGTGTTTGTAAAGCAGCCATATCCGATGCAGTAGTGTACTTTAGTTGTGAAATATTTTCTACTTGTGTAAATTGGTAAGTCACTTAAACTATTTTATCTAATCAAAAGTTTTTCAATCTCTCTTAGTTCTCTGCAGAAAGGCTCCTGGCATCACTCCAGTGGTAACGTTGCCTTAGGTAATGACTGCATTTACGTGCTCCGTGAATTAAACATGTAGAAACAGGTTCAAACGAAGACAATGATATATGACATGACTTTTTAGTAGCTTTATACTGTATAGATGAGAAAACTGACTAACTCTGACTTTTGATTCAGCTAAAGGCTCGTATGGTGCTGAGGGTCAGCTCCACACGGTGATGGAGAAGAGTCCAGAGAGCAGCCCCACCACAAGGCCCCGTCAGGGTGGAGGCTTTCCTCAACCCCCTTCCCCTACCGGGCCTTCCTCTGGATCTGCAGGCCCCACGCCACAGGCCAGCCGGTTTATCCTTCCTACCAGCATTTACCCTGTTCCCCAGCCTGAGCCACACTATGCACAGATGCCCAACTCCCCCAGCCCAGGCCTCTGTGGAGTCTACCCAGCCTTGGCCAAGGAGAGCAACCGGCAAACGCAACATGAAGGAGCAACAGAGGGGCAGAGAGATGGAAGGATGTCAGCCACAGAAAATGGATACCAAACTAACACTTCATCCTACCCCCACAGCTCTTACCCAACAGACAGGTGATGGTTTGTTTAGGCTTCTGTGTTTCTTTTTCTTTCTATTTAGCTAACATCTAAAACATGTTAGCAAAACTGTTCTTGCTTCTCAGAGAAATAACCCCCTCTTTTAATCTTTTTGTTTTTCCCAATACATCCACAACAGTCATGTTTTGCCAAAGTCATAGACATCATGCATTTCTTTCTGGTAGTTTTGAAGCAACATTAGCATTTATTGCATTAAGTCAGAAGTAACCATATTTAGCTCGAGGCGGGGGCCTTAATGTTCAGCTTGGTTATCAAACTGCATCCGTCATGATCCAGCTCAGTGGATGCAGTAGTGGAGGTGAACTCTACAGCACCCACGCCCCTAACTTTAAACCTTACTGAAATCCAAACAGGTGGCCCTTCTGTACAGGAATGAAGGGGGAAATTAGCTGATCTTTGTACCAGGCTATGACCATCTAATTTGGACCTTTTTGTGAGTCTTTTGGAGCCAGATTCAGTGCTCAGAAGAACTGCGGTTTTTGGATAGAACCAGCATTAAAATGCTTTTGGTGGTAATTCAGTCTCATGCTTTTGATAGGCATCAACAGGAAGAGTCCAGCTTTGGACCCTACAACCCACGCATCAAAACTATTGGAGGGGGAACAGAGAGTGAGACAGTGGTCCAAAGAGCCCAGAATCATCAGAGCATCCAAGAGCAGAAACAGGATTTCCATATTCCCCAAAATTACTCAGCCCCTGAAGTCAGGCGCGCATCATCACAGGAGAGGAGCAACCCCTACGCAGCTGTCCAGTCCTTGGGAGACCAAAACAGGTACAGTTAGAGTGGGTGGGGTCTTCGAAAGTTCATGATTGTTCAAGAGATCAGACTCTGATTTCAAATCAATGGCCGCTTCACGTCTGTGATGTCTTTTGATCTCTTTTCAGATCAGTAGACCAGTCCAGCATTCATTCAGAGCCCATAGCATCTTCCAGGCTCACCCTTGGACAGGTTCCACCCAACCACTCACCTGGTCAGGCCCAGCCTCAGGCTCCACCCTCTTCTGCCTCACACCATTCTCCCCAGCACCTCAGCGATTCATCCGCTCTGCACTATCAGAACTGGGACCACAGAGAGCAGGACAAAGACAAAGAGCACCCACTGACCCGCCTGGAGCTCGCCCTTGCCGAGGTACAGCGGTGCGGCAGCCCTGAAAGCAATGCCCCCCAAGGGCCCGCTCGCAGCCTCTCTGTTTTGGAGAAAGTCAGTCGCTTCGAACGTCAACAACGCAACGGAAAGCAGCGCAGTCACAGCACCTCACACAACAAGGCCCATCTACGGGTAACTGCAAACAAGATTAAAATATTTCTTCTGATGATCTCAGAAGTGAAAAGGCTTCCTTATGCTTAGCTTCTTTCAATACTTTATGCTTCCTTATTCAGAATCAGATCACAGACAAAGGCCGCAGCGCTCCTTGTGGAACAGAGGACCTCAGAAACATGCTGGAGAGAAGCACCAAGGGCATCAAAGTCCAAAGGACTCCGAGCTACAGAGGAGGCAGCAGTGAGCATATGAAACACAGGTAGAGTGATTCTGAAAATACAGATGAGTGTATATAACTAACTACTGGTCTAAAAAGTGTTGGTTAAATTTCTGTGTGATGTTCAGAACTCCAACAGATCCAGTTTCAGCCCTGCAGAGGAGTCGCAGCAGCTTCCATTTAGATGGATCCAAGGAGGAGGACAGCAGCAAGGATTTGCCCTGGAGACAGGAAATCCAAGAGATCATGGCCCCAATGCAGGACACATCCACAAACAGGTCCTTTAACAAGTCATCACAATGGCACATCCAACATCCAACAGCTCAGTGTGATGATCCTGATCCAAGAAATGTCTCTCCAAACAGATCTTACAGGGACTCCTTGAAAGACGCCCAGTCTAAGGTCCTACGATCCACCTCCTTCAGACGGAGGGACCTCACCTCATCGGGCAGTGCCCAGCCTGCTCCAGCTCCTCCTTCTGTCTCCTCCTCTGGCAGCCAGCAGCCTCCACCCGTCCCTCCCAAATACCACTCACTGGAGAAAAAAGGCCCCACGACCATGCCAAAGCCACGAGGCATTGTCATCACGCCACAGTCACAACCTCTGGTCACTTCCGCTCACACACCCAAGGAGAGGCACTTGGTTACTCCCGATGTTCGAGGCTCTAGCCCACCACCCCTCCCCAGCGTCCCACCCGTTGGACAGCCTCCTTCACGGCGGATTTGTGGCCGCAAGCGTTTGACGGCAGACCAGAAGAAGCGCTCATACTCAGAACCAGAGAACATGAATGAGGTTGGGATTTCTGACCCAGAGACCATGTCCTTATTCCGGCGTGGAGGAGGTAAGATTTCCAATTTTTAAAAGCAAACTCCTTTTGCCTTTGTGTGGTAAACAAATTATTCAAATGATTCCAGTTTAGTTACTTTGCTGGAAATGCTGAAATCCATTTTTTTCTTTCTCTTCCAGAAACCAGTGTGGCAGACCGTCGGAAGGTGTTTGAACCTGCTGCAGGTTCTGTTGGGAGTGGAGCTTCTCAGAATGCCATATCAAGGCCCGACCTGCGACAAGTGCAGCAAGAAGCTCTCGCTAAGTACATAGAGAGGAAGAGAGGCGTGAGGAAAGATGAGGGAGGACAGAGGAGCATCTCGAGGCCTCGCAGTGCTTATTTTCAGCCTGAAAATGTTAACCATGCAGGTGGGTGCAGGTGCCTGGTAAAGTATCCAGGCAGAAAGGTGGAGCAGTGAGGTTTGATACATGGATAAATGAAAGGTTTAAGTGAGAGGTATAAGGCAAATCACTTTTCTTCCTTTCCTTTGTCTTCAGCCTCCTCCTGTTACTCAGACTCCCTCAGCCTCTCCTCCGCTTCCAGCCTGCTCTCCCTCCAAGACCAATGTCCAGCTTCTCCTCAGGGGGAGAAGCACCCCAACTCAACTCTTCTTCCTGACCTGCGGAGCCACCAGTCTAACTTCTTCTACCCAGGCAGGGTCACCACACCGAGGCCACCAGCTCACCCACCATCAAGGTATGCAAGAACAGGCCCCAGCTGAATCTAATTCTCTTAGTAGCATTGTTTAGGACACTTTGGTGACTTTGGTGGCTCCCGATTTTATAAAAGGTTAAATCTTCTCCTGCTTTCTTCTCTTAGCACTCCTTCTGGCTCCACTCTTGATCAGATCTACCAGGATCTTGTTCCTGAAGCAGAGCTCAGGAGACACAGCCAGTCATCCATCAGAGAGCCGAGCCTGGGCCGTGAACAGCAAGTTGCAGAGCCTCAAGTCAACCGGGGACTGTCTAAGCAGCTCAATGTTGCTCTGCAGAAGGCTGGGTCAGTTCACAAAACAGGGAAGTCAGCCTCAGCTGAGAATCTCCTGGAGCGATCCGAGGACACGCGAGCCCCCCCTCAGCACTTTCGCTCTCGTTCATCCCCCATCATGGAGAGACTAAATGAGGTAACGCTCTGCTCCGCTGCGGTGCTCACAGCGGTTATTGTCGTGAATGTAGAGGCAAGAAATCATTCTTTCAGGCAGACAAGGAAAAAGCAGCCAATCTCGTGCCAGCACACCAGCTTCTAGTTCAGATAGCCTTCTACTCATCCATTTGCCAAATCTCACATAGGAAGCTGCAGCGCATCTACAAGCCACCTCCACCCTACCTCCTCCTCTTCATGAGCTATCTGTCGTATCTGCTTCCTGCTCGGTTCTGTATGGGAGGTCTTCCTTTCCTTTCTTTATGCCTTCCCTGTTTATTTATATGGTGGTCCTTAATTAACTATAATGAACATATAATAAATAAAATTACAGTAATAAGTATATCTAAAAAAATTATCATTTTAGAGATTGATTGTCATTTCTGTAATAGGAAGGATCTTGCAGTTATATGCTAATAACATTGGGACTTTAGAAATAACAAATAACACAGCATCTCACCTTTTCCAGCTTTTTCCCATCACTCTGTCGATCAAGATGGGAAAAAGATCAGGTTAAAAAGATCAGAAGATGCACATCAAGCGCCCTGCATGCAGCCACCAGCTGTGACATCACAATAAAACAAAGTTTTATTTTCAAACTTCAAGATTCAAAAGGCAGCAGCTGCCAACTTAACCCATTGTGAGATAGTGATTTGAAAATGTAGTGGAAGGATAATTAAACTGTAAGTGAAATGTTGAAGGTCCATATATCAAACATTATATTAATCCAATATGTCAAAATAGAAATATAATAATATTAATATAATATTTCCCAAACAGGAGTGAAACTGTCTGTTAATTTTGGTTACATAACTATTAGGAAACAGAGAAACAAAGCCATTTTTACTTAGAATTGTTTAAGTCAATGTTTGCAGATGATACAAATAATATAGCTATAATCAGCGTCTGTCCTAGAGAGGTTTTTGTGTTCCAGCGACTCAGAGAGCACGCTATAATCCAAATATAAAAAAGGGTTTGGGAAAACAAGCAGCTCAGCCTTTGCCAACAGAGACTTCAGCGTCATGTGACCCAGCCCGGTGCTGCAGAAGCCAATGAAACAGGAATGCATTACTTTGTAATGTAAACTGAGCATTTCTGCAGCTTACTTTTAGATTGTCACAGTGAAAGATAAGATAATTCACGCCGCGATAATAAAACACTGCAGTGTTTTGGTGTCTGATAAACCTTCATGAGTCTGTCACTTCGTTCCCTTCCTCCACTTTGGCCTAAAGAGGCATTCATGGACCTGTTTGTATTTCCACTTATTTGATCACATTTGCACCAGAGTCACACAGGAAATAGCCCAAATCCTCAGGGTTTCCTGTGAGGTGCCAGTGAGCCGGGATGGTGACTGGGCGCTGTCTGATGCAGATGATAAGAAACACAAACACACACACACGTGCTTACATGCATCTTAAAGGAATGCTGTAACGGATAAATTCATCCTTTATCTCCTTCAGTAATCAGACCTGCCCGTGTCACATAAACATCATTACAGCTCAGTCCAAGTTGAGGGTTTGAGTTAAATTTACCTCTTTTTTTCCAGAAATCTTTTAATGACAGCCAAAGGCTGGATTTGAAATGTAACATCTTCTAATTACTGAAGCTAGAGGCTAAAATGCAACCTAACCCTAAATCCTGCCTTTAAGTGGTGGATGTTAAAGGGTTAAATTTAAGAACTTTATGTTCCCGGATCGTTGCCGAAACATGCCAAAGGAGAGTTTACAGGTCAAAGTCGGCTTGCTGGAGAGACATCAGTGCATGTGGTCTTAATGTGTGATAAGGTCTGTGGTCAGACTTGTGATCGCTGATGGCGCTGTCTGGGTTTTTCAAACAGCTCAGAGACACAGGAACAGGAGTATTTAGTGTTTCTTGCTAGTCTTGATTTATAAAGCCCAAGAGCTCAAAGAAAGGCGTTAAACATGAGAGAAACCCCTTGATTCAGATAAGGATAATTCTACTGTACACACACTGTGATTTATAAGAACAGAATGATTTCATTAAAGTAAATAAAGTGATTACACATTACACCTGGTTACTGCGACTGCAGTAATCAGTTTTGTAACTAAACCATGGCAGACTCGATGACATTTCCATGCTTTTCAGAATTCTTTATTACTACACACACGTTTGCTGTTCACAGCAGCTTCCAGCCACCAGCCGAACACACATCACCAACAACAACACCTGACAGGACTCTTTCTGCCAGTGATGCGTGATTGCAGATGCCGCTCGGGTGCCTCCACCTCTCCTGCAGTGGCACCGCAGACCATGCCACAAGTTTATTATTATTATTATTATTATTATTGTTGCAGCTTTTAGGCAGGGATGACTCCTGGAGTTGCTTTCTCACTGCATGTGCTTTATTTCACAATCAGATCATAACAAAAACATACAGCAGCTCCCCTCCAACTCCTAGCCCTTTGCTGCGGTGGAAAAAGAACGACTCCAAAATCCCTTCAAGGAACATACGTACAAAAGAGTTTTTCTGACACACCAATGGGGCGTTCAATGCCATCTTGTAAATATGAGTACTCTGGCAGAATAACAGTTCAAATGAAAAATACACCAGAACAAACAAGCAAACAAAGAAGTGTGGGGTACCTTTGAACCAATGAACCAAGTATAACCATTTATACTTTTTAACATAACCCGACCCCGTCAATATGTGTATCTCTCACATTATTATCATTATTATTGTTATTATTGTTATTATTATTATTATTATTATTATTATTATTATTATTATTATTATTATTCAGCAACCAGATCAAGGCAGAACCCTTTAATTTATCATCTCCATCTGCATCTAAACCTGGATAATCATAGAAAGAAATTGCAGAAAGCATCTTCTGGAATTTTAATGTCTTAAGTTCCACCAGGTCACCAGGGGCCTGCTTTAAGGTTAGGTTTTACCCACATAGAAACTAGAAAATTTCATTCTTGCTTTTTTGCTTTTGCATTCTCTGTTTTCAAATATTTCCATTTGGGTGACCCTAAAAGTGGAAAAATCTATAATATATAAAAGGTTATTTTGACATTAAGGTGCCAGTGACTCCTTGGATATCAAGAAGTAAAACTGACTTCTTGTACTTGACCTTAATGTGCCAAGGGTTTTTAGAGGTTATAAGCTTTGATTTGGCTAAACATACATACATTAATATGTATGAAACTACAAGAAATTTATTATTCCACTTTCTCTCTTTGTGTTTCAGGACTTCCTTCCAGACGATGTCCGGATGTTTGGCGTCTTCATCTCGGAACATGAACGCTGTGCTCTGGCTGCCGACAGGTACGCCGCGTTTCTATGACCACCATGTCTGGGTTTCACCTGGTGGGTTCTTCTGGTCCTTCATTACTATCTTCCTGTCATATGACCATCAAGGATCCATAACTTTATAACTTTATTAAGTACAGCACCGTGCAAGTGATTTCTTGGTCCTCATAGTGTGAGCTCAAGTGGGTCAGACAATCAGTAAAACAAAAGCATAATAACCTAACTTTGCTTGTAAATGAGTAAAAAGAATTCTGCTAAGACAAGAATTTTGCTATTTGAAGTGTCTGAAAGTTTAATCAGTCTTCATCGATGCATAATCAACAAAAGTTAAGATCCTGAACGTCTCTCTGCAGAGCCTTTTCTCTGGCGATTCGTTCAGTTTAGTAGATAAGGTTTAAAATGTGACTAAGGACTGAGGGATCGTGGGAATTCAGGTTCATTGCTGAATGCGGTATTTTAGCTCTCTTCCATAAAAGGCTGTGGACTCACAGACTGTGCTTGCTTTAGGCTCTTTGCTATTTTAAAATCATCTTGTGCCCAGCTGTTGGCATCACGGAGAGAAGGACACATTTAGGAGGAGAAAGAAGGAAAGGAGGACTGGATATAAAGGATATAAGGGATTGGGGGTGATGGAGGCACAGGGGCAACAGCTAAAGGAGACACAGAGCTAAAGGAGAAGGTGAAAGGAGATATGGGTGAAAGGAGGAACAGATGGCATGCAAGAGTTGAAAAGGATGAATACGGAAGGTGGTGGTAAGAAGGAAAGAAGAGGAGCAACTGAGAACCAGTAAAAGTAAAAAAAAAAAAAAAAAAGAGGAAGGAGGGTGTAAGAAGGTTTTACAGCTTTACTTCTTCTGTTCTTTAGAAATGAAACTCCAGGCAGCTTTCTGAAAAGCTTTTAGAGAAAAAGAAGGGAGTATCTGTTGTATGAAATGAGAACAGGCAAGAGGAGGTATAGTATTTAAAGTTGAGAGGAGGGAAGAAAGGGTATAAAGTTACAAAATGAGGCAGAAGATTGGCCTTCTCAGAGTTCAGGGTGGAGTAAGAAAGAGAAGAAGGAGTTAAATAAGGGAGGAATGAGGAGTTTTTAAGAAGCAGGAAAAACTCCCTGGCACTGAGAGGGAAAAATAAACAGAATACCAACTCTTGTCTGCAGGGATTTATTAGTTACAGACATTTAAATATGTTTGCCCTTAAAATGTGAAGGTGAAAAGTCAATCTGAGGAATTCTGAGTGTGTGTTTACACAGATCAGTCTGGTGTCTGGATATAACCAGGAACATGAGGGCAGAAATCCAGATAACTGAGCACAAACAGCTGATAAGATCAAAAGTAGTTTAGATCACAGTTAGGACACTGGATGTTAGGAACAACTAAAGGTCAATAGCACTTTATTTAAACCTGAAAACAACACTTTGCATATATTTTATATTACTTTATGGATTGACAGCCAGTAACATCTCCTAAAGCAGCAGTACTAGTTTCCATCCATTTGTCTTGTGCTTATCTGGGGTCACAGTTCCAGCCAGCTAAGCGAGTTATTTCAGGTCAACTCGAGGCGTTTTTAGGCCAGTGTGATCTATAGTCTCTCCAGCATGTTCTCAGTCTAAGCCAGGACTCTCCTACCAGTTAAAAGTGCCTGGAAATCCTCCAATTGAAGACGCCCAAGAGGCATCCTGATCACATACCCACATACATGCTTTAAGAAAACATGAAACACACACAAGTCAATACTCTGACCAGCTGCCAGAAACAATGTTGCAGCTATAAACCACTGCAGACCGAGAAGAATTTTCTCTAATGGTCTTCAGTCGACCTGGAACTTTAATTAAAGTCGATTACTTTATGTCTGCAAGACGTTTTGTCAAATTAAAAAACCCACTAATGCAAATTCTGTGAATCCAACATCAGTGAGTTTGGCATCCAGTTTTCATAATAATCTATGGTTTACTCTCTGGGGAATAGGAATGACATAAAATGATAAAATAATAATTAAATCATGAGACACCCATCCGTGCAATGCTTTTCTACCACTTACCTGTGTCTGGGTCGCAGAGGCAGAAGTCAGAGTTACTTAGACCTCCCTCTCCTGACCCACCTCCTCCAGTTCAACACCAAGGCATTCCCCACCCAGGCAAGAAACATAGTCTCTCACGTTTGCCTCGCTCTTCTGTAGGGTCCTCCATCCCATGTAGGAGGAGTCAAGAAAGCATTGTAGTGAGATGCTGAACCACATCACCAATTCCTTTTGATGTGAAGTAGAAGCATCTTTAGTTGGAATCCCTCCCAAATGACTGCGCTTCTCTTCCTATCTAACAGTGGTCCGAAACACCCTTCAGATGAAACTCATTTCTGCCTTCTGTATCCGTGCTCAACATCCGCAGGTTCCAATATATACACGAAAAGCAAATATATTATCCTGAGGCCACTGAACCGGAAGCTCCGGGCTATACCTAGAAATTCTTTCTATAATGAACGGAATCGATGACGGTCAGTTGACCTACTAGAGCTGAACGCTAACCAGGAGCCACTTATTGTCAGATAATAATCCCATTGCTGTCCAAATTTTAAACCAACAAAATGTGCTTAGTTGTAGATATATTTTCAGTACCACTGTTTTCCTCGCTTTCTTTATTCTTTTCTTCATGTCTTCCTTTAAGACCTGCAAACGTCCATGTACCAGAAGGCTTCATCTCTCCATCCCAGAACAGCATGAACACCTCCCAGCCCATAGGACCCTCTACAGGTGAGTGAAATTTAAAAAAAAACAAACATTAAAAAGTGTGAAATTTGCAGCCTTTTTAATTATTATTCAATTATGACACACTCCAGGATTCACTGAATTTAACTCACTAGCCTCCTTGTTTTTAAATCCCAGGCTTCTCCCAAACACCGGTCATTCGTAAGGAACGGCAGAGGAACAGCGAGCGCCAGCGTGCCCAAAGCACCTCCACCTTGGCAGCCTCTGTTGGCCTGCCCTACCCGTTGTCAACACCCAGGACTCAGGAAAGAGGCAGCGATGAGTGGCAATCAAGCGAGAGGTTGAGCCAGGCCAATCTGGATGGCATCACTTTCCCTGGCATCCAGCAAGTGAGCGTAGGCAGTGGTGAAGAAAGTAACATTTCTGGTGTTGAATGTGAAAAACAGAGTAGACACAGTTTGAGTGACGCCACCCTGTTACAGGACACCGCAAAGCACACTTACAGAGGCAGAGCCTCCAGTTTAGAGATAAGAGGCGGACTTTCTGAAGAAAATGTAAAACCAGTTTCCCCAGTGACACCAACCTCACCTAAAAGGAAGGGTAGCGGAAGCAGCACATCCTCTCCTCTGCCGTTCTCCCATCCGACTGTCCACCTGTCCTCACTGCGAATCTCAGAGACCAGCCTCTTTGGCTCCGTCAGCCAACAGCAACCTCCCAAAACTTCCACAGGCACACCACTGGAGGACTATGATGAGGTCTTCCTCCAAAATCCTGCACCACCTCCTTCTCCACCTTTTTCTCCTCCAGTCAGGGAGACAAACATCACTGAGGATTTCCCTCCTCCACCTCCTCCTGTGGAGCTGGAGCTGGAGACTAAGGAGGAGACAGTGGGAAGGTTTGTTTTACAATATCTGTGTGTTTTATTTGAAATGTCATTACTGTTGTTTTGATTTTTAAAAATTATTTTCTTCTTCCGTTAATTTTCCCATTTCTCCAACTTTAGTTCCACTTCGGAGTTCTCCACCATTTCCACAAGAAAGTCTTCCCCCCAGTTTTTACCAGTCAGCTCTTCTTCTGTGCCCAGTCAACTTCCTTCAATGCAACCCTCCACCATCACTCCAACCACCACATCTGCCACCACAGAGGACAACCTAAGCCTTGAGTACCAGCCGCTGCCCAAAAGGGAAAAGACATCTGAAGAGCTGAGAGTGGAGGCTCTGGCTCAGCAGTTGGTGAGTGTCTGAAGTCAATTTGTATCTTGCTGGAGAGTCTCGGGACTTTGTGTGTGGAGGAATCATCAAATATTTGGGGCTTAGCAGACAGAGAACAGGGGAAATCTACTTCAAGAGTTCCCATTTTTTAATAGGGATGAGATTTCAAGTAAATATACAATTGGACATTTACTAGGAACTGTTTGACTTTTCTTCAAAGATACCAACCTAGCCTCCCAAATGACATGGAATAGTTTTGGCAGGCTTGTGATGTGGTAGCTTTACCTGATAAAAAAGGGTTTTACAAATGTAAAAAGTTGCATAACTTAATAGCATCAGTGACAACCTCAAACCTAACCCTAGGCAAGCGGAATATGACTCTGTTTTTAAATTGTTCTACAATGGCAATCACAAGACAAAGAAAATAATCTTTCTAACCAACACACACACAAGTCCTCTTCACTTTTCTCTAAAGGGTTAGAGCGGGGATGTCCAACTCATTTCACATTATGGCCCACATAGAGTGCACTTTGATCTTAAGTGGGCCAGAGCAGTTTAACTCCCCTTTTTGTCAGTGTAAAGAAATTTAACTACACTTTTAATCTCTGAGATTTTTTATATAAGAAATACAAGTGCAAAAATTCAACAATGCATCTAAATTTGTCTTTGTCAGAAAATGTTTCTCTTCAGTGTAAAAAGGTACAGCCAGTATTTATTCCTGGGTCTGGAGTTCACTGCACTGTTTATGGTCTTCAACTGCAACTCCTTTCCCCTCTTTTCCAGTGCAATGCTATGACTGATTTTGAACTACAAGAAATTGTTTAATTTTGACTACCTTTCTTTTTGTGCTTAGTTTTTATTCTTTTCTTTTTTCCAGGTGTTGCAGGACCCCTCTCTAGCGCCCCTCTTGGACACGTGGGGAGGTAAATCCACTATAGAGCTATTGGAGGAGATCTTTCCAAACAGCAAACTGATTGGAAAATCACAATGGACCCACAGAGGCAGCAGCCAAGAGGATGACAGGTAAGCAAACCCTTTTATTTCTGGCTGCATTTTCTAATTTGTTCTTCTGGGGAGTGAGTTTGTACAGAATCAGGGTTGAGGGCGGTCGCGCCCTAAAGCAAAGCCTGCTTTATCATCTATTTGACTCTAAATTGGACCCAAGTGTACAAAAAGAAAACCAAACTCTATTAAATTAGACTTGAAACTACCTATCAAGGCCATAAACTCATCAGGAAAGTGTTTACTGAGGTCATAGATCAAAGGAGAAGGAGGCTCAATTTCTAAGAGATGTCTATATAATCTGACAGGCAGAGTAGCTGCCCCCTGCTGGTCCTCTAAAAGAATGCAGGTTTAAGGCACTTTCCAGACACAACAGCTGCCTCCCTCTTTGATACAAAGGTCACACTTCTCAGCTAACATGACTCAAGACTCGTCCTTGAGGTCATTCAACTGAGTTTTATCATAAACCAACAATGGATTTCTTATTTCTGAATATTGAGAGGATCCCACATATGTAAGCTTTTGTTGCATTGGCTGGTTTGACAAAACCTAAAAATCTGATTCATAATGGATCTCACAATGTTGCTTGTTCTCTTTATTTATTTTATTTACTCAGGCTTTCTACTTCAGGATCTGTGCACATCTGCATAATGACAGCACACTCTAAGTGCTTTGAGTTTTTATAATGTCTTTAATAACCATGTCTTTGATTGGTCACATGCTGTCAAATCATCTATTCACGTGAATGGGCTCCTAGCTAGATTAAGAAAGACTGGGTTGGCATATAAAGTTGATAACCAACTTCATGTGACCACTTAGCCCAATATCGGTGTATGTTAAGCCAATTATGAAAATGGGTATGTAGAACTTGCTTCATAGTACAGCGCGCTGGTGTAACCTTTCTAGTTTGTTTATTGTGTCGGCAGATTCACTCAGAATCATTCCCACTCTGATACATCCACTTACACAGAACAAACAAAGGCTTACAATCAAAGATAGTTGGTTCCAAATAGTTGGATAATTACAAGACTGGAGTGCACTAAACAGTCTGGTGATGCTGTTTAAAGTGCTTTATGTAAGGCAAAACTAAAGGCCTCCACAATGACTCTGTTTATTTAGCCTCAAGAGCAAAATTGCACAGAGTGACTTTTATGGGACTGAAGCACGACACGAACATTTTTGGGGGTAATGGACTTCCTGTAAACCAGCATTTATCACCCTTGCTGTGTATGCTGACAGCCTCCTTCCTCTTATCTGCTGCTGTCAAAGCAAAGGAGGAACATTGGGAGCCTCAGCTGTCCCTGCAAGTCACAGCCTGTGATGTCAGTGACATCTCGAGTGTGTTTTAGTTCGCTGGCAAACGCGTTGTTCACAGAAAGAATGAGAAGACAAACAGCCGTCATTGTAGAGGTTGTGCTTTTGAACCTCTTTGATTTTCTCTGCTGCCACACTCCTTGTGAAGTACTCTTAGGGGTCATGAGTGAACCCGGCATCGAATTAATTTTGATTTCTCGAGGTCTTTAACCCTGCTCGAGTGGATGAGGTAACCTGCGGGTTCAAAATCAGCTTCCTTTGCTGACTGAGTGTCAAAGTCAGACAGGTGAGACCAGACAAACCTGATTAACAGCAGCACAGTTTGGACAGCGTTGTCAACCTACATGAGAATTTCTTAAACATCATTACCTGAATGGGATGGTATGTATAGGGGCTAAAAATATATAATTTTAAAAAGGACAGTGAGTTAAGTGCAAGGTTTAAAAGGGATTTCACAACTAAGAAAACCAAGCAGCTGTTTTTTTTTTTTACTTTTAGTGGACTTGAAAGGACGCCCAAAAAAACTCAAAATGAGTTGTATAGTGGTGTGCTATGACTTACAAATCGATAGTCACCCACTTACCCCCAACCACTTGGGGCAGGGCTGCCCCTCCCTAGCCTGATTTCATCAGAGGAAAAGGAACTTCTTCATTCCTGCTGTCTGGAATCTGGCATTTCCATATTGGTGCAGTTTTACCAAACTGAGGAACTGCATGTGCCTTTTAATGTTATTTAATAACCAGGATGGTCATACAGGTAGAAAAATGAACCTAATGCATGTGACTTTTTAAACTCTGTGAAACAAAGAGTGTGTTCATCGCTATTTACATTTAGAAAGTTCAGAAATCTGCAATATGAAAATACACTTTGACACAGTGCAAAAAATGTACCTAAAATGTGTCTTAATACTGGATTATTATTACTAATGAGTTCACCCAGAGGATGAACTGCCAGAGCTGATGAAGGTGGGGCTTCTTTTGCCTGTTTTATAAACTCTTGCATCTCTCTGATCCAAAAGAGCTCTTCATATTTTATCTGATTATATTGTTTTAATGGAAAGGCCACAAGTAGGAATAAAACAACTTTTTTACATTTTCCATCTAATCAGCCCTTCAGGCTTATTCCTGCAGCAACACTGACACCTAGTGGTACTGTGTTGCTGGCATAACAGACTGTATCTGGTCAGTAAAATAGCTTTTTCTTTAATGTGAGCCTCCACTTCATCAGCCTGGTTTTTAAATCGAACTTGAAAAAGTGTTTCTGTTCTTTCAAATGCTTTAAAATGGATAAAATACAGGGCTGTCACATCAAAAATATCTGTTTTTAAATAGTATTGTCATCTTTGTAGGACCCAGGCTGGCATCTGCGATCCTGCTCAGAGCACGGCGGCAGATCACAAGAAGGAGCCCAATCTGGATGAAGAAGAGAAGGATCTCAACACCAGGAAGGTAAAATAAAAAATAAAAATAATAATTTCTCGTTAAAATGTGAATAATTAACAGTGTTAAGATATAATGTAGGCGCACAAATCAATAAATCTGTAAATGAGTCTTATTTTTAAATATTTGCCTAAAATCCCAGCAGCAGAAGGTAAAACTGCCAACTGTTTTCACATTTCTCCTGCTGTCCACCAGGTGGAGCTGTGTGAAGCTCTTAGGAGCAGCGTGGTGGCTCTGAAGCGGGAGAAAGAGGCGCTGTGTGAGGAGCAGAAGCATCACAAGGCGCTGGGGGATAGCATCGACACAATGGTGCAGGACCACCTCAAAACCAACGAGAAGGACAAGTACAGCGTGTTCATCGGTATGACATCAGAGTGACGCTGTGACAAAAAGCAGAAATATGTCATTTTCATTACACATCCACAGCAGATAGGCTTTAAGGGACCCCAAGTTTCAGACGTAAGTATTTCTATCTTTAGTGGAAAGAGGCTTAATGACCTTGGAGAATAAATAAACAAATATAAAAAAAATATAATAGGACCTAAAATCGAGCCTTGTGGAACACCGCAGGTAATATGAGCTGCAGACAAGGAAATAGGTTCTTTCTAAAAGGTAAGAAAAATGTCTTTGACCTGTTTGTTGTTTGCAGGTGATCTGGAGAGGATCGTGAACTTGCTGCTGTCTCTGTGCAGCCGGCTGTCGAGGATTGACAGATCTCTGCTCGCTCTGCAGAGAGACGGGCTGTCGCCAGAAGAAGCGGCTGAAGAGAGGGTGAGACATGCAGAGTCCACCTGCCTGCATCACACCTGCAGTTCTGTGATTCAGGCAGTAAAACAAATGGGACAGTAACTAAATTAAATTCATTTTAGGTTTAGTTTTGCCCTTCATACGGTGACAGTTTTCCTCCATATACCCTTAATGTCTTTGGCACATTGACACTTCAGTGTCTGAAGTGTCTTTATACTAAGTGCCTGATATCCAGATCAAGGTTCTTGGGGGTCAAACCATCTCAGACTGAGTTATGTGTTTTATTAGAAGCATATGTAGGCATGTGTGAAAAGAATAATAGATAATTAGATTTGGGGAAATAAATATGGATAAATTCCAGAAGAGGTGAAATGACTAAAATAAAACAGAAAATTAAGTAAGCAAATGGGGAAAGTAACACAAAGCTAAACTGAAACAAGATGGTAAATTTCTGCCAGATTTTATGAATTAATTTCTATATTTATTTACATTTTTGACTATTTTAAATACATATAAATATTTATCAGAATCCTGATATTGTCAGTTTTGGTCCTCTATAGGACCAAAACTGACAGGGAAAGGGACTTTAACTTTTGCACCACACTATCTGCCTCCCTGCTGTTTTCCTTATTATTTGTTTCCCTTTACCTGCATGCTTTCAAATTCAATAGAGTCAAAGGAAGATGGTCCAAATTATATAAAAAAAAAAGTTTCTTCATTTTTTTGGAAGGTCTGTGAATAATTGTGTTTAATAACCCTGATCTCAATAGTGTGCAGTTCTGCTGTATGACTTAAGCCGTGTCTGTATCATCTCAGATATTAAAAATAGTCCCAACAAAGATTTCAGTCCCAAATATTTTGATATATGAGAGTTTATTTCAACCCCTTTTTCTGAACAAAGGAGCACACAGGAAAAAAAATGAGCTTGAATCAGTGAAGACAATCGATGTTTGACTCTGTTAATGTTTGCTGTATCTTTATCTGCTCTCACCCGACGACATAATAGGTCTAAACTTTTGAGTCAACTCAAAGATGAAATATTAACTTTTACCTCGTGGTTATCTGCTGCCCTGGCCTCAAACTCAGACCAATTCTGGTAAATGTGTTATGAAAGCAGTCAGTTGTGTTCAGTGGTTGTTTTTTTAAGAAGATCAAACAGTTGATTTTATACATCTTATCGGTTGTTTATGAATACTTTAATGAGCTTTTTTTTTTTTTTTTTTGCAGTCACACGTTTAAGAACACTTTGTAAAAGAAAGAAGTTTTCCCATCTGTAGCCACAAGGGGGAGCTGAAGTACTATCCACTTGTTTACCCAGTGCCACTGTTATAAACTACATGGTAGTGATTTAAAGAATTAAGTCGCAATGTCTTATTGCATTAAGTTCATTTCCCCAGGTAACACAAACACAGCAGTTATTAGAGACTATTTCTTTGTATAACAAAAGTCCTCTCAAAGCATTTGGTAAAGATAAGATAAAGACTGCAACACTGGAAAGAAAACCCCAATAATCAGGAGATCCACTGTGAGCAAGCACTTCGGGACTGTAGGGAGAAAGAACTCCCTTCCTTGTGGAGAGGCAACAAATAAACAGGAAAAAATGCAAGGAGAGCGAGGACGAGCATTATTGGCATGTGATTTTGAAATATATAAACAAAGAAGATATATAGATGTATGTGTTTGATATACGTGTTTGTTTTCCTCTTCCTCAGGACTCCCTTAATCACAAGCGCTCTCTCCTCCTTCGCCAAACCGAAGACGCTCGAGAGCTGAAGGAGAACCTGGACCGGCGGCAGCGCGTGGTCCACGCCATCCTGTCCAGTTACCTCAGCGAACCCCAACTCCAAGACTACCGGCGCTTCGTCAGCACCAAGCCCTCCCTTCTGATCCGCCAGCGACACCTGGACGACCTCATACGACGGGGAGAGGAGCAGCTGACGCGATTGGCCGAGAGCCTACCAGCAGAGCTGGCAGAGGCCAACGGCTGGCCCGCAGCAAGCCCCGTGCCCTGCTCTTCTTTGTTTCCACCACTGCTTCCACCCGCTGCAATTATAAGCCCTAGCCACGTGGTCAGATCTACCACTGTGACATCACTGTGACATCATGAACACGAAGGACAGGTAGCACCATAAAAACTGAAGGAGCTTTACACGAAGGATGCCCCAAAACAGGCTCCGCCCATTTTGAATTGACTATGCAGACTTCACACATGAAGAAAAGCCTTTAATGTGCCTCTTTCTGTTCACGCCTGACTGCACATTAGGCCTCTGTTCACCTCAATGCCAGCAACTAGACAATATTTCTAACCACACTCTGCTGGTTGAGTGATTTTAAGGTCAGAGGATTACCAGGAAAGTTTATCATCAAATCCTTCAAAGGACAATTCCAGCATGGTGGATGATTTTCTCCATTTTTTTAAACACTTAGACCTCTTCTGCTTTTTTTTTTGTTATATATATCCTGCTTCAGTGATGGATTAAACATGGCCAAAGTTTCACTTTCACATAGGTTTTTCTACTCTGGGATCTGTATGTGTCATAAAGACGGGATACCCAGTGTTTCCCACACATATCCTTCTTACCCATTTCTCAGTTTGTACTTCCTCACCTCTTCTTCTTGCATTTTAGTTCCTTCCACCAGAGAACCGAAAAGAGAAAGTGAGGAAGAGACACAAAGAAAGGGGAAGAACAAAATGAGGCACTGCTGCTTTAAAGCATTCTCTGTTACACATGAAATGTGGCATATAGTTCCTACTGATGTATTTTACACAGCAAGCCTTCATTTTCTTATCAAAAAAAATCCACAAAAAAGGAGTGCTGGAAGTGCAAGTAATGAGAGGTAGATGAAGAGACAAACAGGACTATTTATACACACTCAAATGTATATAGTCCTGAGGCACAGGTGGGAACAGTCACACACAGGTGAAACTCATGAGTGCAGGGCAGGCAATCTCAAAAGTGGAAGTAAAACCACAACGAGACACACAAAGACACACAAAAGACAGACGTAGCTTCCAGGTTTAAAAAGTAATGTCAACACACAAGTGCCTTAAAACTGCTGAGACCTGTGTAAACATTTTCCTGATGAGTTTATGGGCTCAGTCACAAAAAAAATCAAAGCTTCAAAACATGTGACACCACGGTGGCTACAGAAAACGGGTCATAGCCAATTACATAAAGAACACTGAAGCAGAAACGCATAGAAAGAACAGGAAAATAACACGCTGGATTTATGAATGAATGCTTCAGTGTGGAGCTTTCAGGCATAAAACACTTGTGTATCCTCACTCTGCTCTGACCTCCAGATGTTTTTTAGAAACTGGGACATTCTTCAAGATGGTTCTGTTAGACTGATTTCCAGGTCAGGGCAGGAGGAGAATGCACAAAATAGAGCAATGAAAAACCCTGTAGACTATGTGTACTCAGGTTAGGGTTAGTATAGTTAATATACCATCCATGGTATAGTTACTAGTGGACAATCTCCTTGCTTTTCTATTCTGATTTCATTCAGCTGCTTCTCTGTAAAGGGTGTTATCCTTTGTTTAGATGGACTTAAACTCCACCACCTGCAGTTGTTGCAAGAGAAAGAGCTAAATCCACTTGTTACAGGCAGAGTTGCCCCAGTATAAGACAAATAAAGATTATTTTAAACTGTGAATTATGCAAAGCTACTCTAGTAGAGCCCAAGAATAAATCATATGGAGGTAAATTAAATATTACTACACTGGAATTGTCCTTTAACTGACTGGTGATACTTTCAGGAGCCTCAAACATTCAGACCTTCCTCCATGAGGTCTTTCTATCTGATAGCTGGTGCACGTGAGCAGTTATCTCCCAAAGAGAAAGCACCACCATCTTTAAAAGATCATCATCTTCTCCATCTTTCCACAGAGCCTGCCTCACTCTCACATCACCTTAACCTTAATGAACACCAAAATCAGAGGGACTACGATCTCGTTTCACTGTTTCACTGGACAGAAAGCAAAAAAATCCTGAAGACGAGCTGTAATCGTCACTGTCATGTTAAACTGTAACACAACTACTGCCACTGCTGTCTGCACATCTGCAGCTTGTAGCACTTTGTAGCAGTCCCACTGCTGTTTGCAGCAGAAATCACACTGACCCATAAACACTGTCATATGCCTCTCATCAAGTCTGACGCTTCATGAGGAAAAGTTCCGATTCCAAAGACTTTCACAGGCTGAGATTTCTTCCAGATTTCATCTTGGTTCAATTTTGGACTTTGGAGGGGGTTTTTATGTCAGAAATGTTGCCAGCTACAGTAGTCACCTTAAAATCCACTGATTTCCAACAGATATCAACTTAAAAAAGAATAATCGGAAAAATAACCCAAAGATATTTAACTTTGTGATGCTGAGAAGAAGCAAACCTTTACAGTTGAGAGGTTGTAATGTTCTAACTTTCGGATCATTTATAGAAACATTTTCAGTTCCAGGAAACCTTTAAATTAACAATATGTTTCCCACTATGTAACATGACATTTTATTTTAATTATCCTTCTTTCAGAACGACTTTCAGTTTCATAGAAAACTGAGAAACATATTTTTAAACTCCTTTCAGTCCAGCTCTCTCAGAGAAAAGAAAGACCCACACTGTAAAACCTTTAGATGCCAGATTTGCCTGTGCATCAGTTTCTTCTCTTATCAATCCATTCATTCGTTTTCTGCCACTTATCTGAGTGCAGGCTGTGGGAGTAGCAGTCTGAGCTCTCCTCTCCCTGGCCCCCTCCTCCAGCTCTTCTATTAGCCAAGACATCTAATCTCTCCAGTGCATCCCGGGTCTGAACCAGGCCTCCTCGCAGTTGGACATAACATAAAACACCTCATTTAGGTGGAGGAGGCATCGTAGTATGTCATTTAACCTCAGCTCTTTCTCCCTCTCTGCCTGATACTGAAAATACCCGTAGCCTTACTCTGTGTCGAATCCAACATCCCTGTGCTGACGTTTTGACACAAATTCAACTGGTGGCTGTTTTTTTTTTAATTGTTAATCTAAAACTGTCAGGATGTAGGACCTGAACTTTTTTGGCCTTTGAAGCCAGGCGTCCCTGGAAAAATTTGAAATATGAGTTTGGTTACTCACTGAGATTATTTCTCAAGCTGTGTTTACACACGTACGTGAACAGAGATGTTCAGATTTAAACATTATGGTGATAAGACTGACTTAAAATTGGTGGTGTGTCCCTTTAATTCTGTTTCAGTTGACCCCACTAACTTCTTACTTAAATAAATTTAGGTAATTTTTTTTTAAACACAGAAAATGTGTTGTCAGGTGAGTAAAGTACAAAAGGAAACAATGGTGACCTTTTTATTTTTAATCCTTACATTTTTTCTTTGTTTGATACATTTTTGTCATATCTGGGCTTCCATAGGTCCTCTGTGACTCATTGCAGGATCAGGTTTATAAACTTTTCTCACCTTGCTGTATAACAGGCACCATTTGGCTTCCCGTCCCTTCATACAGACTCCGAATGGTTTCATTTCTGCAGTATATGATATTTATTTGCTTCTGATCAGTGGAGGGTTTTTGACTTTTATTCCACGCCTACGTGTTTAGTTTTGAGAGCACCTTTTAAATATTCTCCAAGCAGTACAACACACACACACACTGCCGTATGCCCTCCTCTATAACCCCAGTTGTACTGTTGATTACTGTTTATTTTCAGAGGCACTAAAGAATATCTCGAAAAGATTCTGGTTTATTGTTGAATGAAATTCAATGTTTGTTTTCTGAAAGACTTAAGAACAATAAATAAAAAGTAACAGCTTTTTTTTGCTAAATAAATGTTTTTTGTAAATACTATCAGACTCTTTCTTCTCATCCTGTTGACCTGCACACACGCGCACACATATAGATGAATATCATCACTGCAGTGGAAATAAATTTAGAAAGAATCGGGATATTTAAATGATGTAAAACAGCAGCAGGCGAGCTCTCGGACCTTTTACAGAAACCTGCTGAAGTTTTAGCGCTTCCCTGTCTGCAGTGCTATAAACACTTGATTATTATCACGGCTTTACTGCACATTTGGTTCCTGAAATAGGAGCTCACATCTTCACTTCATTTAGATCCTCAACACACATCCGGGTTACCTGCGGGGATGCAACAGGTGAGAATGCGGTTAAATACCTGGGGTGGGCGGAGTTTATTCTGGTCTGACAGAAACAGCTCCTGACCTTTGGGACTAACAGGGCGGGAGAGAAAGAGAGGAGCTGCATAAGGCACTAATCGGAGCGCAATGGCCTCGGAGTTCACTCAGGACGCGGTGCTGGTGTTCCTCCAGAGCCGCGGAGGCACAGTGAAAAACTCCGACCTGGTTCTGCACTTCAAAAACTTCATTCGGGATCATGCGGACCAGGACCGAAACCGAGAGCTCTTCAAGAAGTTCGTCAACTCCGTGGCCACCGTCAAACAGCTGGACGGAGTGTCTCATGTGATCCTCAGGAAGCAGTTCAGAGGATATGTCCCAGGTAAGGGGGCTGAAGTGGGCTCCTCCGACCCTCCGTGCGTCCCGGTCGGGAAGAACGCCGAAACTGCCGCTCCTAACAAGCCGCGACAGAAACCGCAGCAGAAAGAAGCGACTGCACCCGCCCCGTCGGGAGAAACTGCAACGAAAACAATCCTACCTGTGGCTGGCCTCGTCCTGACCAACAACAGCGTGCAGGAGAATTTAAACCTGAGGCAGCAGCAGGTACACCAGTCTATACAACCAGTGACAGCACAGGTAGTGAGTCACAGCCCACAGACACCACAGCTGAAGACACCCAGTCTGCCCACGCCTCCTGCTCTAGATCAGGCTTCTAAAGTGGGGCAGGGGCAGCGGAGAGTGGGTTTTGGTCCACCTCCTGGTGTCACACCTGCACCTCCTCACAGAGCAACCAGCCCAGGGTCAGAGGTCCTCACAGGGCAGAGGCAGCCAGAAGCGGGTGTTCATGCTCAGCGTGCCCCCCGGCGGGCGGGAAACAGGCCAAGCTACAAAACTGCTGTGAGCCAAGATGATGAAGAGGAGAAAGAGGAGGAGATCACAGTGACGCAGATTTCAGCAGGAGGAACGCGGCCCCCGAGCGCTCTGCTCAATGCCCCGGGGAGGGTCACGCCTGCTCCTTCTTCAGGCCAGAAGAGTTACAGTCAGGGTACTGAGGGGCAAATGCTCACCCCTCGGAGTCCAACTAGGGTCATTCCGAATAACAGCAACTTTGACCTGAGACAGCAGCAGGCACACAGCGCACCTGACCACTCTGTGCGACCAGTGTCAGCACAGACGGTGAGTCACATCCCACAGAAACCACAGCTAAAGACACCCAGTCTGCCTACACCTCCTGCCCCAGATCAGGCATCTAAAGGGGGAGAGCTGAGAGTGGGTTTTGGTCCACTTCCTGATGTCACACCTGCATCTCCTCATAGAGAAACCAGCCCGGGCCCTGAGGTCCTCACAGGGAGGAAGCAGCCAGAGGGGGATGTTCACCCTCAGCGTGCCCCCCGACGAGCAAGAAACAGGCCAAGCTACAAAACTGCTGTGAGCCAAGATGATGAAGAGGAGGTCATAGTGACGAAGGGTTCAGCAGCAGGAGCGCGGCCCCCTAGCGTTCCACTCAGTGCCCCGGGGAGGGTTACGCCTGCTCCTTCCTCAGTCCAGAGGAGTTACATTCAGGGTACTGAGGCCCTCAGAAGGGGGCCCCAGCCTCCAGAAGGTGGTCTTCATCAGGAGCCTCCTGTGCCTCCACAGCTCACCCAAAGGCGTTTGAAGCACAGACAGAGCTATAAAGCTGCTGTGAGTTATGATGAAGATGACGTAGAGGAGGTTCCCATGAGGCGAGGTTCAGGAGGAGGAGCGTGGCCACTGAATGTGCCGCTCGGTGACACAGTGAGGGCCATGTCTTCCTCATCGCCATGCATCATAGACACGCCTGCACCTTCATCTGTCCCACAGATTTACATCCAGGGCGCTGAAGGGGAAAAGCTCAGCCCTCACTATCTAGGTTTGAGGGAGGAAACTGCAGGCCCTAGGTTGGAACTGGGTGAGACCACCAGACGCAGCCTGCCTTTGGAGACTGCACTCCACCACAACATCCAGCAGGGCCACCAATACTCACCACTCTCAAGGGAACCCAAACCAGAGACCAATCAGAGCCACGGACCGTTGATGTCGTCCAGCCACAGCAGCATCTACTCGCCCTCGTCTGCTGGCGGCTTCCACAGCACCAAGTGGCCGCCGTCTAACTCCAGCAGAGAATTGGGATGGACCAGCAGCTCCTCGGATCTGCAGATCAGAGCAGGTACGCTAGCAGGTCTTTTTGTTAATGTTAGCTGGTTAGAAGCTTGTCAGTATTAATCCACCACTGAAAATGGTCCCCCATCAAAATCACTCTTTCCCCTGTCTCAATGACTCCCCCTGACTTTGTCAGCGATAAATGTTCTCAGGAGAACCTCCTCACTGTCATACACAGGCAGAAATGTGGAAACTAATGCAGAAAGTAAATGAAAGTAAATGAATATGTCAAAATAAATGACTACTAAATCAATTTAAAAATCAATATAGCTGAAAGTTCAATACAAAATAAAATAAAGAAATATCAACTTATGTCACAGTTTATAGATTATTGCCTCTATTTATTTTTAATATTAATTTTGGTGCATTTAATCACATTATGAAATTTCACTTTTCACTGGATGAAAAAGTCAAGCTCTTATGTGACACATGAAAAACTTATATGTATGTAAACAAGCATCTAGATCTGTTTATTTATTCATTTATTGATGTTTAATTTATTTCATTACCTAATACATTTGCTTTTGTTTGTTACATTTTAGAAATTATTATTGTAAAATTACTCACGGCCACTTTATTAGGTACACCTGGGCCAGACCCTTCAGAGCTGCTTGAATTTTTAATGGCTGAGATCGAAAAAGGTGCTGCAAACTTTCCTCAGAGATTTCAGTTCACACTGGCATGATGACATCACACAGTTGCTGCAGAACTGTCAGTTGCACATCCATGATGTGAATTTCCGATTTCACCGCATCCCAAAGGTTCTCTGTTGGATTGGTCTGGTGATGAGTGAGGCAATTTGAGTACAGTTATATATTAGAAAATGAGCTTTGTGACACGGTCCATTATCCTGCTGGAAGTATCCATCAGAAGATAAGAACATTGTGGTGATAAAGGGAAGGGCAAGCAATGCTCAGGTAGGGCATAGGGTTTAAATGAAAATCAGTTGGTACTAAGGAGCCCTAACTGTGCCAGGAAGATATCCCCCTCTAATTTCATCCTATTTTAGTGTGCCTGTGTGAAGTTTCTTTTTTTCTTAGCTGATGGGAATGACTCGGGTTCTGCCACTGCTTCAAGGTTTGATGTGTCTGCATACTGCATACTTGGGTTGTAACATGCTGTTATCTGACTTACTGTTGCCTTCCTATCAGCTTGAAACACTCTGGTCATTCTCCTCTCACCTCTGGTATCAACGAGGCATTTTCACCCAGAGAACCGCCGCTCACTGGATATTTACTCCCACTAGATCAGCAGTTATTGAAATACTCAGACCGGCCTCGTTCAAAGTCGCTTAAGTCACCTTTGTTTCTCATTCTGATCCTCAGTTTCATCTACAACAGCTCGACTTTACCGTTTCTACATGCTTAAACATGTTACATGCTGTACTTGATTGACTGATTAGATGTTTGTATTAACAAGCAGTTAAACAAGTGTGCCTGACAAAGTGGCCGAAGAGTATATTAACACAAACAAGTGAAAATGATAGATTGTCCTTCTATTTGTTACAAAATGTTACTATACAAATCATATTTGATCTGTATCATTTACCATAATCACAAGAGGATGTTTTATTTTTTTTAATTAAGTGAAGATTCCTGAGCTAGTCATTCATTTAGGCTATTTAAGATTCTGACAGTTGTGGTCCTCCATACTGTTCAATTGGTAGGAGAAGAGTAAATTTAAAAAGAAATTTAAAAAAATGATCAGCTTAATAGTCAGAAGTGATACTTAATTTTTTTTAAAGCTTTATTTATTTAATCCAACAGTCTTTTATTTATTTAAAACTTAAAACATAAAATAAGTGATTATAGCCTGAGACACACTTATGGGGCTTTTAATAGTATATTTTCGCAAATTGATAAGAAAATGATTACATTTATTATATTTATGAATGACAGATTTTTGTCAGTTTTGGTCCTCCATACATTTTAGCTACGTCAAAGTTCATCTCAGTAATAGAGTCCAACTCATGCCTGACACATAATGAACAGTATGTACTTAAATAAGCTGGCGTCCTTATTTTGGGTTTCCTGTGTATGCACCTCTGCCCGAGGTGCATTAAGCAAAAGTGGTAATCCAGCTGTTGACTTGTCTCTGTACCATTTCCGTGAAAACAGGTGTGCCTGTAGGCGTGCCCAGAATCCAGGGAACTGTCAAACTAACCAAAGAGGGTATGTCGGACTCCACGATGAGTCGTGCTGACACTAAAATAGTGCCTTGGCATCGCTCCACCGGTCAGCTCTATGACGAGCAGGAGCCCTCAGCTTGTTCGTCACCGCTGCGTCGCTCCACTGACCAGCTCAACGAGAACCAATCCTCTCCGGGCCGAGTGGCGCCGTTTTATCTTTCCACAGGTCTGACCCGAAGTTTAAGTTCACTATTCACTTCTAAGCATTTAAAACAGCAGTTTCTGTCCTTTATCAGCCCTGTCTTTCATGTTCAAATTGGTTAATTGGAACAAAATTTTAAGTAACATCTTTTCAAACTTGCCTTTACTTTCCCACCTGCACCATAACCATCGCCTGTCCTTTATCGCTGGGTGGGAATCGATGATTTATACCACACTGAACGCTTCCCTCTGTCTAAAAGGTGATCTCTGTGATCGTGAAGACGCCGTGTCAAGCGATGACTCGGTCTCTTCACCTTACCTGCGGCAACGCCCTGGTGCCACCAACCGGATGAGCACCAAACAAAGGATGTCCCTCAGCATGGGAGCCGACCTGGACCAGATTCTTCAGGGGGAGGCAAGGGAAGGAAGAGGAACCGAGGAGGCTCGGAGGAGCCGCCTCCACCGGATTTCTTCCTCGCTCAGCCTCCGTCACAATCTGTCGTGCTCCTCATTATCATCCTGTTCCACGCCGCCTCGAAGCCACAGCCTCGCCAGTCTGGACGAGCCAAAAGGAGAAAAGATGAATCTATCTACAGAAGCCTCGCCCTCCTCCAACCACCGTGACAACCACGGTCGACATGTAAGACTTATTAAAACTAACAACTGTGATTAACATAATCACAAGTATTAATTACTGTTCACCTGTTCATAGGTTACATGCTTTCAGCATAGGTTATTAAACCTATACTCTCCTTTTGCCCCACACATATCATATAATACACGATGAGGCTTCATTAATTAAAATTATGTGCTCCTGTCATCAGTCGCTGGTTCCTTTGGAGCCGAGGGAACATACCTGGCTGGTTAAGGCGGCGGCGGGCAACTGGCCGGAAATCTACACCCTCTTCAGAGAGGAACCGTCCCTCCTCAACAAAAAAGACTTCATCTCAGGCTTCACTGTACTGCACTGGATTGCCAAACACGGCGACCACCGAGTCCTCAACACTCTAGGGTACACAGCAAACTTGTGACCTATAATTAGGAACGTCTGAAGTACTTGTGCGGATTAGTGCTAGTTTTGTCTGCTCAGGTTTAATAGTGGAAGGTAGACCAGTGACCCACTCATGACTCTCTTGTGTTGACAGCAGCGTTATAAAATCTTTAATGTGTTTATTATTTATAGATGATAAATGGCACTCATCCATCATCCATTTTCGGTTTCAGGTATGGAATTGAAAAGCACTCTCTTACCTTCGACGTAAACGCCAGGTCTAACAGCGGTCACACGCCTCTCCACATCGCTGTCATGCACGGTCACAAAAACATCATTCGGTTGCTAATCAAGAAGTTCCAAGCTAATGTGAAGCAGAGAGACATGGCAGGTAAGAGACCTTGGCAGTACCTGAGCCTCGACGCGCCACTGGAAATGTTCCACTTGCTCGCAGCGCCGATGCAGGACGTTATGTCAGGAAAGAAAGGTGTTGAGATGGCAAACACCAGCTGGGAGCAGCAGCAGAAGCAAAGCCGCCACCTGCGTCACCATGCCTCCTCAGCTTCAAGAGAGAGCCCGCTGACAATTGCGAGTAGAACGAAGGTGAAACGGGCAACCTCACTCGCTGCGTTGCTTAAACACAAACCGTTAATACGATTTCAAGCAAATCAGGTGAACTCCTCAGCTTAAACTTCAGGGTTAAGCTTGTTTCAAGAGTCTTGCAACATGGAATAGTCAGAACAGCTAGCTGGTCCGCGGGTCTTAAAAACTACCAAGACAGAGATTAAGAAGCAGCTAACTGTTTGTCACACTTGTTCCTTTGTCATATGCTTGGGCACCAGCAGTGATTCTCATACAGTAGTGAAAAATATTTCCTTTCCTGAAACCAGCAAAAACTGCCAGAAACTATTAAAAGAACAAGCCATGCTGATTAGGCCACTGCATAAATATAACTTTACAGTGTTCACAGTAGCAGTCACTGTTACCACCTTATCGAGCTATTTAACACAGAAACAAGTATTAAATAGACACAATGACATGACAATGACTGCATGACATCATGTGAAAAAAACCTCAATACCTGCCTGGGGAGCGGTTAAACCTCTTTTGGAGAAAAAAACTCAACACACCCTCTGGTGGTAATGCTGGTAGTTCCTAAACACGCGTTTTTAAGAATGATCTTGTTTTACATAAAGAGCAGTGGCATACCAATAATCGCCCTTTCTTTCAGTGAAACTGAAAATATGCAACAGGATAAACAGGATTTCTTCACAGTGGATATATAGAACTGCACATTTTCAGGGTATGTAGGACTTGACTGCCTCCTCTCTCCTCTGTGAAGACCTTTCTGAACTATAAAACCCTATAAACAGATAAATCAGCTCTTTCAACAGCAGCTGTGAGCTTTGCTTTTAAAGCCTCATTTGTAGGTCCTTTTCTGCTGTTGATTGTTGGAAGCCTCTCCAACTGGATAAATATGCCGTATAATATTTCACCACTTCTTATTATAACAAAAGAGAGATTAGTTTTTTTGAAGGCCAAAACCTAGAGCTCAGGCCAAACAACTGCAATAAAGAGAATCATGAGTTTCCATGGCAGACTTTGAATGCCTAACAAGAGATTGTATCACAAAGAAGCTGAAATATGATCTAAAGAATGCGATGGTTTAAGCGGGGATCTGATCTGCGAGCGCTTGACTGGTTTTCAGCATGACTTTATTATCTTGCAGTTGTGACAGGAGAACATACAAGGTGTACGTTTACAAGCTGCAGGCTAACAGGAGAGACAGTTCCAGTTTCAGCCGTGATTCATTTACTGATACTTATTTAGAGTTTGGAGTACACACCGCTGCTTTGTTAATGTCTGTTTTACATTCCTCCTGCTGTTTACACACCACCCATCAGTTTGTTCAGTGATCCCCCCCCCTCTTTCTTTTAACCAGTGTTTAGTTTGACTTCATAAAGATATTGTAGACAAATCAAGAATTACAACTTGTGAATTACATTGGCACAAATTAACTGCCTCCTAGGGAGTATGCATTTGTGTTGTTGATATGAACCCATAATAATGTTTAACAAAAATAAGCACATATACCAAAATGTCAAATTCTTCCTTTAGCTTACAACTTTGTCTGTATTTTCTGAGTGCCAATAATCTACACATTTAATTAACATTTGCATTATTTTTTTCCACCTTTTTAATTTGACTGTTGTTTTCATGTTATGTTGTTGTCAACATCTGCAGTTTGGTTTTCAGTGGTTGCCAATTTTGACTGGTGACCATTGGCTTGACATAGCTACTGGTAGTCAATTTAAATTACTAATGTCACTTGCTAATGCTAATCTAACATGACCACTGGCTTGAGGTGGCTAAGGCTATTTAATGTCAGCTAACTTTGGCTGTTAGCTTAGTGTTATATTTGGTTGAAAAGGTTAAAATTAGCTATTATCAGGTCGTTTTGATTACTAGCCTAGTAATGACCATTAGCTTGAAATTGTTATTGCTATTCAATGTCTGTTAATTTTGGATACTAGTCTAGCATGACATTAACTTGAGGTGGCTAATAGTAGCTGTTGTCAGCTAACTTCAGCTGCTAGCCTGATATAACTATTCGCTTGAGCTGACTACTACTACTAGTTGAGCTAATTTTGGCTGACCCCAGGGTTTGATGCGACCATTAGCTTCAGATGGCTAATACTTGCTCATATATTCATTAGCCTGAAGTAGTCAATAACAGTTAACATTAGCTAACTTTCTCTCGTACAGTCCCTGAAAAGCTTTGAGAAGTTGTACTTTTATCTAAATTTACACTTTTCTGCATTTGTTTATACTTTTGTCACAGTTGAACTGAAGTTGTAGCTGGTGGATAGGGGACAAAATGATTTTTTTTTTTTTTAATATTAATTACTGTGACAAATTATAATCAATGTCACCACTTTGTTTCTTTTCAGTGTATCAGTTGTCAAAGTGGGACTGATTATTATTTTACCCAATTTCTATCGTGAATATGTAACGTTACAAAAAAAAAAAAAAAACAGATTGTATGAATGAGTGAATGTTAAATGTGGAAAAAAAGTTTACAATTATCAAGTAAACGTGTAAAATTTGTACTGGACATCTTTGACATTTTGCTATATGTGCACCACCACCAAGTATCACAATTTCTCTCATAAACACTTTGTGCTACACCCTTTTGAAATGGCAGACCTTCCAGAGGAACTCAAGAAACTATTCAAGAAATTAAAAAAAAAAAAACTGATGGAGAATTTGTAAAATGCTGAGGAGGAATTTGAAGTTGAGGCGGTGTAAAACATGTAAAAGCACAAGTATTATCCTTTCACAACCACCAGGGTACATTACATTTGACTGTTTTGTTTGTAAATTTGTCTGTTGTTTACTTTGACAGATGCACATTATATTTTTAACACCACTGAATATTAAATATGTTTCACAGTTGGATATATGTTTTTTGTATCTATATTTGAAAGGCCTGATGGAGGTCTAGTCTGAAATGTTGCAATTAAATATAAATTCTGCAAGTCAGATCGCATGCTGGAGTGTGTTTGTGAAACATTGGTGTGAGGGTTTCTGTTTCTGTGTTTCAAGACTGTTCTTCATGCTTGTGGGCATGTTCGATCCTGATTTGTTGTGTTTTTGTTGTGTTTGGGTGGGTATGACTGTAATGGGGACTTGAAACCTGCTTAACAGTCACATTATGTGGACTTAAAGGAAATTAATATTAGTCAGGGTTCAGGGTGCTGCTGTTCTTGTAGCTTGTAGCAATTTTTTTTTTTAAATCCTCAAAGAGGATTTAAAAAATGACTTTTAGATTATGTAATGTGGGTATTTCAGTAGAAAGAAGTGTGTATGTAAGTGTATGTGTGGTTTTTGTCTGAACAAGCTCAGCAGCAGAAAGTCCCTTCCTATATAACCGGTCTGACCTGTAGCATTATTCAACTCCATTTCAGTGTCTCATAATACACCCAGCTGGGATATGTTATTGCCAAAGTTATTTACTATAAATTTGTGAAATCATGCTCCATTTGTCCTTCCCTACGTCATTCCTGTTTATCCAAATTTAAACTCAGCAAGTGTGTTGGTGGGGACTTGAGTAAGTTTGGTGCTAAGATTGACGTCATTTGGATCAGTGGTACTTTTATTTTGAGAAAATAAACTCACAGGCATGTTTCTTCTTTGACATTAATGCATTACCAAGCTTTTCAGCCCAAAGTTTAACCCTCAATGAAGTGCCAAATCCTTACAGTAAACCTAACCTGTGGAAAACTGAAGCACACCCCATTATTCAACAGCTTGTAGAACCACCTTTAGCAGCAGTGACTTAAGTAATCATTTTCAGCTTTCTCCACTCCCTCATCAGCAGCCAGGTCCAGGAAGAGGAAGATGGTGGAAAAAACAGAAACCAAACAAAGGGAGAATAAGTCCACCAATGCCAGAGAGACTGAAACAGTGCGTCTACCATGACGCTATTCTGCCCTTTGATGTGATGAAGTTACAAGAACTCAGAGACTAACCGAGAGCTTGAGACAATACAGGGAACAAAGGTTAATGGCCTGTAATGACACCAGAGGCACAGAGCACACGAGAAACAAAAGAAAACCTGGGGAGGACCCTCGTTTTAGTTTGGACTTGTTTCAAAGCTGCAGGTTTACGTGTGGGAGATCTCTTTGTTTGAGCTGCTTCCCTTTTATCTGTGTGCATACATGTGTAAAAACTAATCCGTGCAGCCTTTGCTCTCACAGCATTTTACAAAGTTCTGATTCTGGGACAGAATATAAGCTGGGCGGGGGGAGTGAGGAGGGGAAATCTCTTAAATATGCTGAACCCTTTTATTCTGGGATAATCAGCTGAAATAGTTTTAAGGGATCAAGAACACAGTCCTCTGGGTCTTTTTGTTCCTAATATCTTGTTGCACGTGTTCTGAATGTTGTTTTCAAACCGCCTTTGTAGTTTATGTCACAGGTTTTATCTTTGCAACCTGATGAGCTAGGTCCTGCTGATACTACACGCTTTAGTTGGTTGTGCAGAAAGCACGTTTTTTATTCTTGAGTCAGTCTGCTGCCATGTTTGCTACAGTTCCAGCTGTGGAAAATTGAATATAGAACATTATTCAGTCTATTTGTGGATATATCATCTGTTAATAGATCTTCATTCCTGGTTTCTTTGAGAACATCTCTGGCTGAAGCAGATGGCACTCACTTCATCTGTTGTCCAGAAGAGTCAAATGATCGATGAGATGCTCTCCTTTTATGTGAGTGTGAGAGACGGTAAGAAAGATCACAAAAAGTCAGAGTTAACAAAGAAGGTTGATAACCATGGTGGGGTTTTAGGTTCCATCAAGCCAGCTAACACAAAGAAAACCTGTCTTCATCTTTTAAAGCACCTCAGTTTTCTGCACTTTATTTTACTTTCCCATCTCTGTTCACCCCACCAGCTCATCTTAAATCCTGAAACCTCCCCTAGCTATATCAAGTGTACTAATGGACAGATAGTTGGATCAAAGGTCTCCTAGCAAAAGCTTCCCTGAAGCAGACTCAGAGCTTGTGATTTATTACACCAACGCTACCTTCTCTGATTATTCCATAGGTCACCATATACTAAAGAAAAATGGACCCTTGTCCCGTTTTAATGTTTACCATGTCAGTGCGACCCACCTGGGCTTTGCTTTTGAATGTGGCTAAAAAAAACAACCCAAAATGTTCAGAAACAAGATGACGATGGTAGAGGTTACCTTTCAAATATATCTTATACTTTGATTTTTAGTGTTGAAACGACATCAGGAGCTCGCCTTACTGCTTCTATAGCAAAGCCAAAGATCTCCGACAGCTCTGGGTATAACACTGTCCTTTGTTGCAGTTTGTGTGAAAGTAATCTGTAACAAATGGAAGACACAGCACATGCTCAGTTTCATATTCTTTATTTACTGGTGCCGTGGTGCGTTCAGGGACCTGGCATGGCCACCGGCAACTCCTACAGCAGGAACAACAGAGCTTTTTTTCATGAAGGAAAATATACTGAACATGAAGGGATTTAACAAAAAAAAAAGTGTGTTTTAGCTTTGAACATCAAAGCAAAGATAGTCACTCAACTCCAAAGAAAAAACAGCTTAAAACACATATCTGTCTATTAATTTTAAGCAGCCGCTTAGCCAAAAAACAACTCAGGTTTGGGATCAATGTAGCTGGATAACAACATGTTAGCCAGGATAAGTTAAGTCAGAGTTGTTTTCTTTTTTTTTATTAACTCTCATGCATCACACCCAGATTGTTTTTACTTTTTCAAAGCACACAATCCACAAATAGCTGCTTTTCGGGCCCCAAACAAACAGTAAACGAACGTTTGGTGGCCGAAACACGCGTTCATTCAGTTGAGTGTCACAACAAGCTTGAAAGGAAAATAAATGTTTATATTAGCATCTTTTTAACAATCAGATTTTACTGAAAAAAAAATAATTCCCCCCCAACAGGGTGAAAACTACAGATAATCTACACAAACCTTCATACGGTTGATTCAGACTCTCTATGAATATGTTATAAATAGGCAGAGTGAGAAGGGACGGGATAAAAGTATAAATATATGAAAATAAAGACAAATATAAGGTGACAAACAGACGCAGGAAGTCAAGTCTAGGGTTTTTTTTCAGTATTTTCTACTTATAATTTTTTAGATTCTCATGTTTTGTGTTCAACAAATAGAATTAATAAGAACAGAGTAGCAGCGGCAGGTTTTTTAGTTTTTGAACGTTTAAATATTTTTTTGGGGCTCTGTTGTCCCCGCTGCAGGGGATGATGGGAGCTGACTGCAGGCCACCCGAACAGCTTGGCATCACACCGAGTTGGGAGGGGGAGGGAGAGCGGGACGGGGGTCATTTCACCGCAACCAAAACAGTCTTAACCACTAACATCATCTTCTTTTTAGCAGCAACTCTGACTGGCAACTTTCCCTTCGGAGCTGCTACTTTTTACTTGGAATCTCTCAGGCTTACATTTTTTTTAGTCTGAAAGATTTATTTTTCTCTTCCACGACAGTTTCCTGAAAACAGGAAGATGATGTTGGCGTCAAGGCGATTTTGGCAGACAGCTTCCTGTTTGGTCTCTAGGAGGCGCTGGCTGGCTGCAGAGGCGGGCAGGGGGAGGAGCTGCCTTCCTGTCGAGCTGGCAAAACTCCTCCTCCTCCTCCGGCTATTGGCGTTTTTGCCCCTTCCTGGACGGCGGTGGTATTGGTGGTGGTGACGTCTTCGTTGTAGAGACGTTTAATGCCATCGTAAAAATCATCCACCTCCATCTCCTCCACCTGGACAGGGAGAGAGATATTTATTGCTACAGCTACTGATTCCCATATTCTGCTTATTTTCAGCTCCATATTTTTATTCTAGGGTAGCTTTGCATGATTCGGAGTTCAGAATAAGCCTCTTTTGTTCCTAGCTGAGCCGCCCAGTTCAGCCTCTGTTTGAAGCAGCCTCATTTAACTGCATTTCATCCCCTTCGAACTAACTTGTCTGAGTAATTCACCCTAGCAATTAGAATATTTGAACATCAGGTGGGTGGAGCTTCTGTGCCTATGAGGACCAGAGTGAGGCTTCTTGAGGCTTCCCTTCTGTCTGACATCATCAAGAGGAGAAAAAAAGTGTAACAGTGCATATATGACAGGAAACAGAGGAAATAACAACAGGTCCAGCCTAATATCAAATGTGAGAAGAAAATAGAGTCACCTTGCGTTTGGTCGAGGCCTTGCAGCGCAGTGTGACCTTCTGCAGGTGATTAAGATGGCGGAGGTGTTTGGGGGGAGAAAGCAGGGCTGGGATGCTGCTGTCTGCAGAAGAGGAGGAGGAGGAGGAGGAGGAGGAGATGACGACACTCAAGGGCTGCTGGCTCTCCTCCTCTTCCCCACCACCAGCAGTAGACTGTGGGTGGGCAGAGGTGACATGGTCCCTGGAAGACTCTGTGGTGGAGGTGATGGTCCCTACAAAGGAGGACATCACAAATACAGCTCACGCCCTCTGATGCTAACACTTGCTTTATGAATATAAAATGTGGCTTACTAAGAAAACTACTTTTTTTTTCTCCTCAGTGGCAAAACACTTTCACAGGTCCGAGTTGGTGACTGGCTCAGTAGCACAATGTGCTTCAAGAAAGATTTCAGACACTGTCCTCCAGCAAAATCTGATAAGCAGCTCTGATGTAGAAGTCAAACATACCCAGTGTGCAGCAGGGTGGTGTAGGCTGCGGGGGCTGGTAGATGTACACGGTGTTCGGAGGCAGGGGAGCTCTCAGTGTGGAAAGACTACGAGCCACCAGCTCACGGCTGCGAATCAGCTCAGAGCTGTCGATCTAAGGAACAGAGAGAGAGACTTATCTTTACACAAGCTCTGCAGCCCTGAGCTGATGTGATGGACAGAAGCATGTGTGCTCGCCTTTAACTAGTAAAATTCAGTTTGATCACCGCAGCTTGTAAAATAGTCTTAACTTCTAGTGGAATCGTTCATGTTTGTGTTCACAATTTTTCATCCTCCTGCTACACAAAATCAACATTTTCTCATTTTAAAAGGTGAAAAAGTCCATACGTGGACAGGCTGCCATTGTTCGAGACATACGTGTCGTCATCTTTAATCTGTTCCCCGTTTAGGTTTGGTCAAAAATGACTTTATGCTTTGGCTTAAACTGCAGTGGTTGCCAATTTCTTTGTGGCCAAAGTGACGCATCGCTGCTTTATGTGGACGAAATACTACAGACATGAAACGAAACTAAAAGTGTCTTGTTATGAAAAAAAAAAAAAAGACGTGATAATTTATCTTTATCTGTACACACACAGATTATGAGGACGCAGCTGCTTTGTTCACCGCTTCTGAATGGCTGTCATGTGACCTGTGCTTTGTCGCTGATGGTCAGTTGACAGCAGCGATCGTGGCTGAAGAGTTGGGCGTTCGTCTTGTAATCGGAAGGTTGCCGGTTCGAGCCCCGGCTCCGACAGTCTCGGTCGTTGTGTCCTTGGGCAAGACACTTCACCTGTTGCCTACTGGTGGTGGTCAGAGGGCCCGGTGGCGCCAGTGTCCGGCAGCCTCGCCTCTGTCAGTGCGCCCAGCGTGGCTGTGGCTATAATGTAGCTTGCAATCACCAGTGTGTGAATGTGTGGATGATTGTGTATAGTGTAAAGCACTTTGGGGTCCTTAGGACCAAGTAAAGTGCTATACAAATACAGACCATTTACCATTTTACCATTTATAGCAGACATACCAGGCTCCTGTTGCCTGGGTAACCCTCTAATATATTTACTGCCACACATCAAAAAGCAAAATCCAGCGCTCTCATTGGTAGTCACTTCAATTGTTCGCCTGGACATTCAGAAAACTTAAGGCTCGCCCACTGCACACCTCCAGGAATCTTTTCAAATGACGGTGCTTGACGCCACTGGGGATCACTTCCGGTGTGGACACCACTTACGCTCTGCCACTTTTCTCATCAAAAGTAAGAAGTAAAATTTATTTACGTATTCCAGTTAAAATCCCTTCATCCTACTTCAATAAGCATGTTATACGCCAATATAGAAAACACATAAAAATATTCCACCTTTAAAGTTCCTGGTTTCAGAACAGTGAATTTAATATCCATTTTTTTTCCATTCATTTTTCATTCATTCGCTTCCGCTTATCCTTTTCAGGGTTGCGGGGGGCGCTGGAGCCTATCCCAGTTGTCATAGGGCAAGAGGCAGGGTACACCCTGGACAGGTCGCCAGTCTGTCGCAGGGCCAACACACAGAGACAGACAACCATTCACACCTAGTGGCAATTTGGATTAATCAATTAACCTATCCCCACAAGCTGCATGTCTTTGGACAGTGGGAGGAAGCCGGAGTACCCGGAGAGAACCCACGCAAACACGGGGAGAACATGCAAACTCCACACAGAAAGACCCCGGCCTGATGGTGGAATTGAACTCAGGACCTTCTTGCTGTGCGGCAACAGTACTAACCACCGTGCTGCCCTGAATTTAATATATACAGTAAAATATCCTTTTCTGTATTTACGGGACAGAGCTGTTTTTCTGTTTCTTACACCTAGTCACATTTTTTTGTATTTTTGACAAATTACTGTAAAACAAGTCATTTGATGGAGATCCTCTCCATCCATCCTCAACCTTTTTTGAGCCATGGACCGGTTTATGTCCGACAATATTTTCACGGACCCGCCTTTAAGGTGTCGCGGATAAATACAACAAAATAAAACCAGTACCACTACCAAAAAAAGAAGATTTATTCATAACACACGGGAAAAGACCCAGGAAAACCGAGTTAACGATAAAAACAATAAAAACCCTGAAAACCATAAATTTCCCATTTCCCTACAGTTCTACCCTGATGAGCCATAAAGTAAAGAATGAGGTAAAAACAAAGAGAAGGCTCTCCACAAATCTGTGTTTAATATGAGTGAGGTGACCGCGGGTGCCCTTTGTCTGACAACAGAGCTCTCCTCCTGAAAGTCATGATGCTCAGTATAGAAACTGTTGCATTAGTTCCTCTCGTTTTTCCTCATAGTACTTCTTCCCTTTCTGCTGCAGTCATGCTGCAGGTGTAGCGCCCTCTGCTGGTATTTGTTTGCTCTTTTTTTCCTCCCTGTCAGCCTGTTTGTCTTCCTGTCATCCAGAGTGAGTCATTGAAAAATAAATGACAAAACTAATTTAAGAAAAAAACAAAACAAACAAGCAAAAACAGAAAGAAAAAAAAACCAACAACATAATTTGTTGGGGGGGTTTTTTGTTGTTTTTTTTTAATGCTAACAGGAACTTGGAAAGGAACTCAATGAACTTAATAAAACTTGAGGACCACAGTTTCCTTTTTGTTCAGCAGTTTAAAGTTCTACTTTCTTAAATGAGGTAAATGGTTTTACAACTGCAGCTGGTGCTTGGCTAAAGCCTCAAATGTCTTTCTTTGCCTATAGTTATTGGTCGTTTTTACTTAGGATGACAAAAACCAATCAGATTCCAGGTTTTTTATCATGCCACACCAGAGAAATATTGCACAATGTGTGTGTGTGCTTGTTGTTTTTTTTTACTGAACTACTGAACAGCAAATAGAGGAAC